TCTCTATCTGACCCCCCATCTCTATCTGTCCACTCTCTCTCTATCTGCCCCCCCATCTCTGTCTGACCCTCCCTGTCTCTATCTGTCCACTCTCTCTATCTGCCCCCCTCTATCTCTATCTGCCACCCCTATCTCTATCTGACCCCCCACTCTATCTAACCCCCTCTCTATCTAACCCCCCTCTCTATCCTGACCCCTATCTCTATCCTAACCCCTTTTCTATCCCCAGGCCCCTCTATCTGACCCCCCCCTCTCTATCTGACCCCCCTCTCTATCTAACCCCCACCATGCTCTCTGTGCAGCTCTGTTGTGTGTTCCTCCCTCTCTAACACTGTCTCACCTTCCCTCAATGCAGTGCAAGAGGGCAGTACTGAGACACATCTCCTGTGCCCAGTCTGTAAGCTTGGTGTGTTTAGCCAGCGCTCTGTGTGGAAGGAATGTGGCTAGCTATAAAGGGGAACAATCGTCACACTAGGGAGGGTAAAAGAAGAAGGCACACTAGGTGATATAAGAGAGCACATTAGGAAGTCTATAAACCCAAAACAGCTGAATGTAAAAAAAATATGCAAGTCAGCTGTGTGTGTTTCCAGTTCGGCTATTTTGGTCTGAAATGTGACATTTGAATCCCTGACAGTTCTCATTTTAGTGAATAATCCTGTGTGTGTGTGGTCAGATAAACAGGATGGGATCTGAGATCAGGTTATCCCTGGCTGGATTGACATGGGATCTGAGATCAGGTTATCCCTGGCTGGATTGACATATGATCTGAGATCAAGTTATCCCTGGCTGGATTGACATGGGATCTGAGATCAGGTTATCCCTAGCTGGATTGACATGGGATCTGAGTTCAGGTTATCCCTGGCTGGATTGACATGGGATCTGAGATCAGGTTATCCCTGGCTGGATTGACATGGGATCTGAGATCAGGTTATCCCTGGCTGGATTGACATGGGATCTGAGATCAGGTTATCCCTGGCTGGATTAACACGGGATCTGAGATCAGGTTATCCCTGGCTGGATTGACACAGGATCTGAGATCAGGTTATCCCTGGCTGGATTGACATGGGATCTGAGATCGGGTTATCCCTGGCTGGATTGACATGGGATCTGGGGTCCGGGGTTATCCTGGCTGGATTAACAGGGATCTGAGGATCAGGTTATCCTGGCTGGATTGACATGGGATCTGAAGTTGGGTTACATCCTGGCTGGATTGACATGGGATCTGAGATGAGGTTATCCCTGGATGGATTAACATGGGATCTGAGATCGGGTTATCCCTGGCTGGATTAACACGGGATCTCAGATCAGGTTATCCCTGGCTGGATTAACATGAGATTTTAGGTCAGGTTATCCCTGGCTGGATTGACATGCGATCTGAGATCAGGCTATCCCTGGCTGGATTGACATGGGATCTGAGATCAGGTTATCCCTGGCTGGATTAACATGGAATCTAAGATTATATTATCCCTGGCTGGATTAACATGGGATCTGAGATCAGGTTATCCCTGGCTGGATTGACATATCATCGATTAACATGGGATCTGAGATGAGGTTATATCTGGCTGGATTGACATATGATCTGAGATGAGGTTATCCCTGGCTGGATTGACATGGGATCTGAGATCAGGTTATCCCTGGCTGGATTGACATGGAATCTGAGATCAGGTTATCCCTGGGTGGATTGACATATAATCTGAGATCAGGTTATCCCTGGCTGGATTGAAATGGGATCTGAGATCGGGTTATCCCTGGGTGGATTGACACGGGATCTGAGATCGGGTTATCCCTAGCTGGATTGACATGGTATCTGAGATCAGGTTATCCCTGGGTGGATTGACATGGGATCTGAGATCAAGTTATCCCTGGCTGGATTGACATGGGATCTGAGATCAGGTTATCCCTGGCTGGATTAACATGGGATCTGAGATCAGGTTATCCCTGGCTGGATTGACATGGGATCTGAGATCTGGTTATCCCTGGCTGGATTAACACGGGATCTGAGTTCAGGTTATCCCTGGCTGGATTGACATGGGATCTGAGATCAGGTTATCCCTGGCTGGATTGACATGGGATCTGAGTTCAGGTTATCCCTGGCTGGATTGACATGGGATCTGAGTTCAGGTTATCCCTGGCTGGATTGACATGGGATCTGAGATCAGGTTATCCCTGGCTGGATTGACATGTGATCTGAGTTCAGGTTATCCCTGGCTGGATTGACATGGGATCTGAGATCAGGTTATCCCTGGCTGGATTGACATGGGATCTGAGATCAGGTTATCCCTGGCTGGATTAGCCGCGAGGATCTGAGATCAGGTTATCCCTGGCTGGATTGACATGGGATCTGAGGTCGGGTTATCCTAGCTGGATTGACATGGGATTTGAGATGTCGGGTTATCCTGGCTGGATTGACATGGGATCACAGGATGAGGTTATCCTGGCTGGATTAACATGGGATGCAGAGATCGGGTTATCCCTGGCTGGATTATACGGGATCTCAGATCAGGGTTTATCCCTGGCTGGATTAACGAGATTTTTTGGGTCCAGGTTATCCCTGGCTGGATTGACATGCGATCTGAGATCAGGCTATCCTGGCTGGATTGACGTGGGATCTGAGGATCAGGTTATCCCTGGCTGGATTAACATGGGATCTGAGGATCAGGTTATCCCTGGCTGGATTGACATATCGTGATTAACATGGGATCTGAGGATGAGGGTTATATCTGGCTGGATTGACATATGATGATCTGAGATGAGGTTATCCTGGCTGGATTAACATGGGATCTGAGATGAGGTTATATCTGGCTGGATTGACATATGATCTGAGATGAGGTTATCCCTGGCTGGATTGACATGGGATCTGAGATCAGGTTATCCCTGGCTGGATTGACATGGAATCTGAGATCAGGTTATCCCTGGGTGGATTGACATATGATCTGAGATCAGGTTATCCCTGGCTGGATTGACATGGGATCTGAGATCAGGTTATCCCTGGGTGGATTATTGCGGGATGCGGATGGGGATTTATCCTAGCTGGATTGACGGTATGGGATCAGGTTTCCTGGATTGACATGGGATCTGAGATCAGGTTATCCTGATGGATTGACATGGGATCTGAGATTAGGTTATCCCTGGCTGGATTGACATGGGATCTGAGATCAAGTTATCCCTGGCTGGATTGACATGGGATCTGAGATTAGGTTATCCCTGGCTGGATTAACATGGGATCTGAGATCAGGTTATCCCTGGCTGGATTGACATGGGATCTGAGATCAGGTTATCCCTGGCTGGATTGACATGGGATCTGAGATCAGGTTATCCCTGGCTGGATTGACATGGGATCTGAGATCAGGTTATCCCTGGCTGGATTGACATGGGATCTGAGATCAGGCTATCCCTGGCTGGATTAACATGGGATCTGAGATCAGGTTATCCCTGGCTGGATTGACATGGGATCTGAGATCTGGTTATCCCTGGCTGGATTAACATGGGATTTAGATCTGGTTATCCCTGGCTGGATTAACATGGGATCTGAGATCAGGCTATCCCTGGCTGGATTAACATGGGATCTGAGATCAGGTTATCCCTGGCTGGATTGACATGGGATCTGAGATCTGGTTATCCCTGGCTGGATTAACACGGGATCTGAGTTCAGGTTATCCCTGGCTGGATTGACATGGGATCTGAGATCAGGTTATCCCTGGCTGGATTGACATGGGATCTGAGATCAGGTTATCCCTGGCTGGATTGACATGGGATCTGAGATCTGGTTATCCCTGGCTGGATTGACATGGGATCTGAGATCGGGTTATCCCTGGCTGGATTAACACGGGATCTGAGTTCAGGTTATCCCTGGCTGGATTGACATGGGATCTGAGTTCAGGTTATCCCTGGCTGGATTGACATGGGATCTGAGATCAGGTTATCCCTGGCTGGATTGACACGGGATCTGAGATCTGGTTATCCCTGGCTGGATTGACATGGGATCTGAGATCAGGTTATCCCTGGCTGGATTAACATGGGATCTGAGTTCAGGTTATCCCTGGCTGGATTGACATGGGATCTGAGTTCAGGTTATCCCTGGCTGGATTGACATGGGATCTGAGATCAGGTTATCCCTGGCTGGATTGACATGTGATCTGAGTTCAGGTTATCCCTGGCTGGATTGACATGGGATCTGAGATCAGGTTATCCCTGGCTGGATTGACATGGGATCTGAGATCAGGTTATCCCTTGGTGGATTGACATATGATGTGAGATCAGGTTATCCCTGGCTGGATTGACATGAGATCTGAGATCAGGTTATCCCTGGCTGGATTGACATGGTGTCTGAGATCAGGTTATCCCTGGCTGGATTGACATGGTGTCTGGGATCAGGTTATCCCTGGCTGGATTGACATGGTGTCTGAGATCAGGTTATCCCTGGTTGGATTGACATGGTATCTGAGATCAGGTTATCCCTGGCTGGATTGACATGGTATCTGAGATCAGGTTATCCCTGGCTGGATTGACATGGTATCTGAGATCAGGTTATCCCTGGCTGGATTGACATGGGATCTGAGATCAGGTTATCCCTGACTGGATTGACATGGGATCTGAGATCAGGTTATCCCTGACTGGATTGACATGGGATCTGAGATCAGGTTATCCCTGGCTGGATTGACATGGGATCTGAGATCAGGTTATCCCTGGTTGGATTGACATGGGATCTGAGATCAGGTTATCCCTGACTGGATTAACATGGAATCTGAGATCAGGTTATCCCTGGCTGGATTGACATGGGATCTGAGATCAGGTTATCCCTGGCTGGATTGACATATGATGTGAGATTATATTATCTATGGCTAGCTTCAGACAGTATTTCTATTCAGTACACCGACTCTCCCAGTCACTGCTATTATAAATATCAATCACATCACTAAGTCACAATCGGTGTTCCCTCACCCTGGGCAGTTGTGTTTACGGTTGCCTAGCAACAATATTAATAACATTGGATCTGGATTCTTTGGTTGTGTAACATGTTTCTGTCATTGTACACACCTAGGGCAGTCAGCTTGTATTTCTACAGACATTCCTTATTTCAGTGAGCTCCTCTGCAATGCCTGAACCCCACAGGTAAGATGGATACCCTCAGGCTGGCTAGGGGTGATAAGGGCATCAGAGCACAGGGGTTCTGTTTTTTTTTTTTTTTATGTACAGTAAGGTTTGAGGTTGTAGAGTCACCTTCCTATAATATGTTTGTTTAACATTTTAATGGAGGTTGACATAGTTTGAGGAACATCCCAACACACCACTCCCAGCCATAACACCCCCTCCCAGCTATAGTATCACTCCCAGCCATAACACCCCCTCCCAGCTATAGTATCCCTCCCAGCCATAACATTACTCCCAGGCATAACACTACTCCCAGATATAATATCACTCACAGCCATAACACCCTATCACATTACTCCCAGACATAACACTACTCCCAGATATAGTATCACTCACAGCCATAACACCCTATCACATTACTCCCAGGCATAACACTGCTCCCAGATATAGAATTACTCACAGCCATCACATCACTCCCTGGCATAACACTACTCCCAGATATAGTATCACTCACAGCCATCACATCAGTCCCAGGCATAACTCTACTCCCAGATATAGTATCACTCACAGCCATCACATCACTCACAGCCATAACACCATTCCCAGATATAGTATCACTCCCAGCCATCACACCACTCCCAGCCATCCCATCACTCCCAGCCATAATATTACGCCTAGCCATGAACGTGTTACCAATTGTCATTAGTTAGATCTAATGTCACCCCATTGTCTACTAATGATCCTTGGGGCAGATGTGCGTTTTACCTGCTATGTAAATTCCGGGGTAATATCACGGATATTGCAGATTTATTTCTCATGTAAAATACATTAAATTCATTTCGTTTTATTTTCTTTCACAGCAAACTGTGCACGCAATATCCATGCATTTACCGTGAAAAATTTGTATATATATATATATATATATATACACATGAGAACTTCTAGGATTACAATGCCATTTTGCATATTTTTTTTATAATAATTGCTATTAAACATTGAGCAATTGAACTTTTATTAAATATTTTAGTTTCTTGTTACAAAGGTTCAAGACTGCTGTGCAAATACCTGTGGATAAATATCGCACAGACTAATTCACTAAAGTGAAAATCTATGGTGAATTAAAAGTCAATTTCAAATTTAAGGTCAATATAGCCAAACGGGAAAAATTCTCGAAGCCAGCAATGCTTTCATTTCAACTACTTTAGCCTTAAATGTGATTTCACTTTGAATTCACCATGAATTATCATGTTAGTGAATAACCCTGACAATGCTCCGGACGTCCAACTGTTTGTAACTGAGAGGAGTGCGCGGAGCGCTTCTGTGCATTTTGTGAATAGTGCTAAAAGATATGCATGCAAGAAATTGTGGACCCATTTCCCACAGATACTGAGACGAATGATCTGTGAAATCCTAAATTGCGCTGCTTGTTTGAGAAAATCAAACAATTTGTGGCAAACAATGAGATTGAGACCATTGGATTTAAAAACAATTTTTTTTTTAATATTATTTATATTTGTACTAATTTATTTATAGCTTGGAAAACACCCCTGTAAAGGGCTCCCAATCCCAAGGATGGGATAGGACTACAGGCATAGAATAGCATCCCTTCACATGCTAAATGAAATCTTGCCATCAAAATATTCTCATTTTATTCCAATTTTTTCAATACCGCTAATGTAGGAATCTTTTTACATTTGTATTGTTGTGTAATACAGACCTTTGTGTGACCTCTGTAATCCTGTGTAGTATTACGGCCTCGTAAGAGATTAGGAGAGACTTATTTGTTTTGGTCCTGGAGAAATAATGAAATCATATGTTTTACTTAATAAAGCGTTTTTAAATTTCAACACACGCAAAGAAGACTCTCGGTGCAAAGATAAAAAAAAAAAAAACATGAAAATAATTATACGTTACCAATCATTTGTGACTTACTGTACAACTCTTGTTGTGAAAATGTTGAATTGTAAAGAGATGCTTTATATTAATAACATTATTACACAATATAATTCTGGATCCCTCTGCACTGATTGTCTCACATATCTTGAGAACCCCTTACCATACTTTCCTATAACGTGTCCAAAAAATGTTTACCTTAACCCTACCTGGTATGCCGTGGGTAGGGGCATATCTGCTAAATATCGAGCACCAGCGACAGCTCAACCATTAGCAGCCCATAACCTGAGCAGTGGACCGGGCTTTGTAATAATGAGAATGTGGAGGACCTTCCTGTGGCTGCCCAGTCACTAGTCAGATTAGGCCCCTGACTGCAGTGTCTGGGGGGGATGGGGTACTAACAGTAGACCAAACATTTGCTGATCACTGTTTAGTGAACGTGAACCCAACTACAAAATGTCCAGCAGGGATAGTTCTTTATCTTATTAACTTTTCACTGCGGTGACTGGCTAGTGAGAACGGGCAGCCACCATAGTTGTAACCCACGGAGGCCTTTTTAACAATGTTTTGAACTATTGTTTTCCACAAATTCCCTTTCTTCCCTCGTCTTTAGTATGTTTGGATGCGGTAATCTCGGTTGAACCTGCAATGTGACCCTTTTTTTGTTATAACAATAAATATCTGCAATCTAACCAGTGCTTTATTTGTGGATTAAGGGAAAATGACTCTCCTATACAAGGAAGTAGGCTGCAGCCGTCATCTTATACCAGTTTTTTTTTTGTTTCGTTTTTTTAGTTACAGAGCTTAACCAGGATATGGTTTATACTTATATGGGAGTCGCCATATTGTAAACTATATTTTGGATTCCCCTGCTCTGATTGTCTCCCCACAACTCCCAGACCCCATCTCAATAACATGGTATTAGTATAGTGTAACAGGAAATGTGTAGTACTGGCCTAAATCAAATGATACCATATTCCAAGCTACAGTGTAGCAGATCCCACCTGGAGCAGGAAACCGAGTTAGGTTCCCTGAAACACAGCTATACAATATCTTGATGGACCTCAAATTAAACATAATGTGCAGAAAGGTATTTCAGTAGAAACTGTAGTGAATTGACAAATGAATGGCAACATTTCTGTGACAATAACCGATTTGGAAAAAAATTCTCAGATCAACTATAAACAGTCTATTTTTACTATTTTACTATTTTACTATTAAGTGTTCAATTCAGTACATTTAACATGTGAATAAATCATGACATGGAACTAAATACTTGTGTCCTAATCGTTGGGGTGTGAGGAGCACCGAGTTAAATAAGCCTTATGAACAAAGGAACCATTATGGTGTAGGGTTATCGATCAGGTGTATTTGGAACTAATTTATATTTCTGTATTTCCTAAAGGGACTCGAAAAATGCTTCACGCAGGAGCACGTACGGTAGTGCTGCAAATAGCGTTAATGCAATGAAAGATCAAGTAGTGGCGGCTACTGTCGGGAATGTGGATTTACTTCAGATAGGTATGAATACTGCTGGTGGCAATCTCAAAGCGGACAAAGAGGTAAGTACTAGATTTATACTTTCATTTATGGAGGAAATTATCTTTAAACAATCAGACTATTTCTTACCTCTTGCCAAGGGAAACCGACCTTTAATTCCCTGAGGTGATTTCTCGCTAGAAATGTTTTTCACCCAGAAGTCCGAAAGAATAATCACTAGACGTGCAAAAATGTCCTGTTAACAGATAAATATTGGAAGTTTTACATATGTCAGTAATCACTTATGACACAGGGTTATAAGTGGCTGAGGTTCCTCAAAACATACTTAAGGTATCCACCACCACCACCACCTTGGGTATAACTCCAAAACAGGTATGAAAATAATATAAACACAATGGTGAGTAGAAACGCAAAATAAAATGAAGGAAAAGTATCTCTCACACCTTTCCACCACGGTAGCGCAAACCAATATGGACTTGTATACAGGAAAAATCTTCAATTCTTTAAGATGCTTAAGAAACAGAGCTACTATAGTGCATTATATTAAAACACAAAAAACTAATTGTTCATAAAATTGCACTCTTACAAACATTAAGGCGTTTATATAAATATAAAGTGATACAAAAGCATTGTGAAATTCTTTGTCCTGCGGTTAAAGAACTGGAACTAAACGTTTTCTTGGGCGAATCCCAATGTTACCGAAGCTGTAACAGTTCCTTCTCGTTCCCAAGATTGGTGAACTTTGGTTGGCCACCAAAAATAGAAAGGATTGAAGGATTGCTGTTGTTACCTTCTACTGGTTTCATCCGTCTGGACATCCTTAGGTAGATCTGCTTTCCTGAGAAAGTTTAGTTAATTCGGATTTAATTTGCTGAAATTCAGAGTACAGTGAATAACCTGTAAATTTATATAAGTATATAATTATTCATTATTAATGTAGTGATGCACTGATGCATGGTACACACCATATGTCCCTATTAATAGTATTTCTGTTTTGTGACAGGGATTCACCGCCTTGCACAGAGCTGCCCAATACTGCAGGCTCCCGTGCTTACAACTCTTAGTGGAAGATTACGGCGTTAATGTAAACCTGCCCACCCATTCTGGACTGACACCTCTTCACCTGGTTTTAAGTGAGAAAGTAGGATCTCAGGTGCTCACATGTGCCCAGTATCTCATAAAACATGGCGCCGATGTCAACGTGTAAGTAATATCGCAATGTGTTCCTATAAGACTTTTATATCAACTGGACTGGATGGCAACTTTCATGTGACGCACCACCTCTTTTATAGGTGAGACTGCTTCTTTTCCAGGTGACCGTACCTTTCTAAGGCAGGACTTACTACTTAATTATTTCTCTGAGGATATAAGAGATTCCTCTCTTAGAGAGAAGAATTACATGACACCAACTCTATGGTATATTGATAAGCCTTTTATTTCTCTTTAGACTTGGGAAAGACAATGCGACTCCCCTTCACCTGGCTGCTGGTAAGGGGCTGAAGGAGTGCATCGTGATGTTGGTGGGATCCGGGGCTGATCTTCACGCTAAAGATTCACGTGGGTTTAAACCCATTGACTGGTGTACAATCTACTGCCATTTAGTCTGTGCAAGGTACATGCCAGAGTACATAACGCAACATCCATTTATCTATATCTCACTGTAGTGATGCCTGATCTGTATGAGTATTCCTCTCTAATCGAAAATCAATGGATGATGCTGTTGCTACTGAAATAGTGTAATTAAAGAGCAATAAGATGCTGCTAACTGCTCAGACTATGCCTAGTACCGAATAGGTTTGGACCATGATCGCTCTATTTAATAGTTCCTGACTCCATTGGAAAAGAAATCACAAAGCATGGACTGGCTGAAACTGCAACTTCCAGAGAACTTGTTATTAGCAGACAGTGAGAACTACCTTCAGCCCAATAATCCATTTTAATTTGGTCATCAATCAGCCTCTAGAGTCCTAAAAAAAATGTAAATTTTCACACAGTCTGAATTTCGTGTAAAAGAGGGAATTATTAAGTAAATATTACTCGGACTGACCTAGGGTTCATTATACCCTAAAAGACATGTATAGATATAACCTAACTAAAAGTATAATAGGATGGTCAGGGGCATCAGGATATATAATGCTCTATAGTCATTCAAAATCCACAAATACAGAGAAATACAAATACGTGTAAATATAAATGCTATTAGATAAAGAGTAAAATGAAGGTCCAATATAATATTAAAGAATAAATACATCAATAAATATATCAGTCCAGGAGTCCACACAATATTAGGGCACAATGAAGCCTCTCAGGATAAACATGACAGTTAAATCTGAATATTGTTGCAAGATGATTAATGGCACCTGAACACAACAAAGAGAAGCTCACAATATTCAGATTTCTATGCCAAATACTCATTCAAATAATAGGAGAGTTTAATATCCTGTATAGAAACATATATTAAAAATATGAACATATAAATGTAAACAAAATTATAAACGCAACACTTTCGTTTTGGCCCCCATTTTTCATGAGCTGAACTCAAAGATCTTAATGTACACAAAAGGCCCATTTCTCTCAAATATTGTTCACAAATCTGTCTAAATCTGTGTTAGTGAGCACTTCTCCTTTGCCAATATAATCCATCCACCTCACAGGTGAGGCATATCAAGATGCTGATTAGACAGCATAATTATTGCACAGGTGTGCCTTAGGCTGGCTATAATAAAAGGCCACTCTAAAATGTAACTGAAGCTCAGACTGGTTGTTACAACACTTTTATAGGAATTTACCATCTGATGCAATTAATTATTTGTCAAAGACACAAATTCAATCACATCTGTTCCATGGGGGAAACAAAATTGCATTTTTATGTTACTCTTGCGTGCCTTGTCTTTATCTGACAACATTCCGTCATAGGTTCCTACGCGATGCCATGTGGAAGAAGGATAAAGAAGACTATGCCCGAGGGATGAAGAAATTGGAAAAAATTAAAGAAAAAATATATGAAGAAGAAAAAGATGCACGTTTGCAAATAAAGGTAACGGGCAGTGGTGTACCTACTACGGTCGTATATGCGACCGGGTCCCTCACTACAGGGGGCCCGGCCGCAGCCACAACCCCTGTGACCGTGGGCCGCCCCCTCCGTGTTCCCCCTGTCATAGGGTGTGCCATTAGAGTACATATACCTAATATTTCTGGGCTCATAATCTGCAGGAATTTTAAAAAAATTTAAAGGTTTTGACTCTCTGGTGTGAATGGAACTGAAAAGATCCAGTATGAGAATAACTCAATTATTAAAGCTCTAGTTAGGGACCGTGGGCTGCTGGGTGTAGGGAAGGTAGGTTTTACTTACCTGAAGGTGTCCCTCTAGGCTGCTGCCTGGTGGTCTTCTTTGGCTCCTTATACTTAAAGGGACACTGTAGGCATCCAGACCACTACAGTTAATTGAAGTGGTCTGGGTGCTGTGACTCTTTTGCACCTAATTTGTCACGAGCCGCGCTAGTACTGTACTCTCGTGCATGCAAGGTCTATAGAGGATCCTTCCATAGATTGATGCCTGAAGTCCATAGCTGTCACTTGTGAAGGGCGCTGGGATTGGACAAAAGTTGCACAAGGTGTGAGGAATGCACACACCAGAGGACAGTAATCTCTAAGGGGTGCTCTAGGAGGGGGAAGGCAAACTCCTGAACACATTGGTAAATTGCAAAAAGGCCTAGCCACACCCAGAGGTTTCCTCAGAGAGGCAGATTTTATTCAGGAACAGTGCATCACAACATTTCCGCTCTCATATCAGCCTTTGTCAAGCCTTGACAAAGGCTCATGTGAGAGGCAAAACATTGTGATGCACTGTTCCTGAATAAAGTCTGCCTCTCTGAGGAAACCTCTGGGCGTGGGTGGGACTTTTTGCAATTTTCCAGTGGGTTTGGACAATAGTTGACAGTACAGTTTGTCAATTTTTGCCCACCTAAGGCTTGGCCATAAAAAAATATTACTAATTTGTCTTCTATCATCTTTGGATTGTTTTGGGATTTCAATTAAATTCCAGCGTAGCCAGCATCAGTATTCCATAAAGAGTATATCTTTATGACATACTAATAAGTAACAGAACCACTTTAACTAAATAGAAGGGGGTGTTCATTTGTGGACCGCCAAGATGTTTTGAGTCTATATTCCCTATAATTTTCTGTCAGCTGTAGGTGCACAGTGAATTAAGGGATGTCTACAAACGTCTGTGAGACAAATTTACTTGTACCAAATAAAACAATGTATTGCTTTGACCAAAACCCTGGCCTAGATATGTAAAAAACACAAACCACTTTCTCAAGTTATGGAACTCCTTGATTTATTTATCTCCAGGTTAAACCTGGTCTAAGTAAATATGGGCAAAGTATTCCATTATTATTGGATACGAATGAAAAGGACGTGCTTTATGTTCATGTCAGTGTACCTGACAGTACACCTCTCTCACTCATCCTGGGAAAGTGCAAGTCAAATGTCCACTTTAACTGAAAATCAAAGATGACATTTTCGATAACATTTTATATTCATTGTATTTATAACAATTCATTAAATGCATGGTATTGGTATGAATTACAGAAAGAAGAGGACAGTGTTTGTCAAAAGAAGTTTTATGACTGGATAGACACAAAGGGATTTCCTGAAAGCTTAAAAGAGAAGTTTGGTTGCAGAGCAGATGTCTTAGCAGAGTCAAGGCATCTTCATGACTGCTCAAAAACATCTTCTAATGGACGTCAACATGAACTTAGCCATTCCTCAGAGCAGAGTGAAATGGACTTGTGTGGGACAAACAAAGTGCACCGTTCTAAAAAGACAGACCAAGTGCAAACAACAGTGAAAGGACAAATGCGAAATGAAAGGAAACATGTATCTGCCAAACGTGTTTGGAATCCAAGTGTCAATCCTTCAATGACACCAACTACCAAAATTACGAGAGCTCCAACAGTTAGATTGGGCGTCCAGCCTGAAGAAGCCAAGACAGAGGACTTAAGCCCTTATGTATCACTCACAAAAGATGAAAATGGAAATTTAAATATTAAGACAATTACAGGAAGGATTAGCTCTTTGCCCCACAATTTACCATATGAGACTGTAAAGAAGAGCCTTTTTCCAGATATCATTCCACAAGAGAGGGTTCGAGTGCCACAGGAGTTCCAAGCGATTCATGTTTTTGATTTGCCCAAAAGGAATCAGCCCTCCAGTGGTCGACGATGCCAGTCAGAGATGGTTTTCCATCTGCGACAAAATCTTGACCCCAAGCTTAAGATAGCTTAATATCAAAGCTCTTTCATGAAGCTAAAGGAACACTCCGAGCACCATAACCACTACAACTTGGTGCTTATGGTACTAGGAGTGCCCTGGCTCCCTCTGAGTGTCAGTAGACAAGCTGTTTAACCATTTAATAGTTTCCCAACATACCTGGGGTCTGATGGGCTGCTGCAACGATCCACTGATAGCCAAGCACCTCAAGGCCGATGAGCTAACCCGATTATTGCTGGGCTTTGCTCAATGCAGAACCTAGGAAAATTGGCAAACCGTTCCAAAACAGTTTAGCTACTTAACACTGGAAGGATACTAGGGCACTTCTGACATCATAACCACTGTGGTAGTTATGTTGCTCGGAGTGTTTCTTTAACTTGCGTTCCAAACATCCCACATTCAGATATGGATTGAGAACGTTTTGGCGGGCTTTCAGGGGGCATTTTCAGTGAAACAACATGTTTCTCTGGTGGTGCTCATAATGAGCAAGCCTGTATGGTAAGTTGACATTCCTGTCTGCAGAAGGGGCGAATAAAGCTGGCATCAAGCACGCCAGGCTGAGAGCCTTCTTGCTGGCCTCCAACAGACAGGACCATGCAGAGAGTGATGCATTGTCCTAGTGCCCACCTCACAGGGCTATTGATTTGCTTGCATGGTTCTGCTGGGGACAGTTCCCTGGATGCACGACACCAGGGAACTAAACGGGGATGGTGAGACAGTTAGAAGCCTTGTGCATGCCATTAATTGATTTCCATTTCTTTCACTGTTAGAGGGCACAATAAAAGTATTGATGAGGCTATATATTATTTTATGTCGGTTATTAAAGATCTGACAAATATCCAATAAATTCAATAAGGACTCCAATCATAAAACAATATGCTAGTTCTGATGTGGAGTAAGGTATTGTAACAAGAATGTGTGATCCTGCCATGAAACTCAGCGGGGACAGGACTGCCGTAGCTATGCCCCATATTATACATTAATGAGAACATGTGAGCCACATATAACCAGTGTTACAGTGATACACTGCTATAAAGTTCATCTGGTTATCCTGCTTATACCATGTGTGATTCCTTATTTATTACAACATATAAAAGTAGACTGTAGTACACAAACATTTTTAAAGGGACACTATAGGCAACAGAACCATTACAGCTTAACCCCTTCCTGATGCTAGGGCAGTTTGTAGTAGTTTGCCATCCTTCCAGAGGAGGATTTTAACTCTATTAGGGTGGCGTGGAGTCCTCCCATGTTGCCTGCCCCGATCGGGTGGGGGGAGGACTGCCTGACAACTCAGACAGTCCCCATGCAGTCAATCCCGACGATCTGAGTCATGTAATCATGTTCGCTCAGTCAGATTGCAAATTTGCCTGCAAGGGGACTGCGTGGGTTGTCATACATATCCCTCTACATATAATGAATACACATTATTTAATTATATTTAAATCACATAAATGTATACACTTACAATTAAATTATAAACAAATAAATACATGTATAATTAAATTCTATGTGTATTTTATATATATATATATACATACATACACACACACATATATATATATATATATATATATATATATATATATATATATATATATATAAATAAATGTTTATATATTAATAGCAAAATACACTTAGAATTAAATTATACATATATAATATATATACAAAATATTTTACCAGGAAGGAAACATATAATGTAATTCTACATGTATATTTATGTATTATTTTTATAATTATGTAATTTTATTAAGTATATATTAGAGGAATTGCCAGGCAGAGAATTTTATTTGCAAGTCCTACATTTGCTGCCTAACACCCACTCCAGTGGCTGTCACTCAGACAACCACTAGAGGGACTTCCTAATTAAGGTCCTAGAAAGATTGCAGGAAGGATCTTCAGCATCACTAAGCATTTGGTTAGTGCATCTCTATGGTGTAATCCTCTATAGGGAAGCATTGACTGAGACTGACATGCTGACAGAAGAAAGACACGTTTGTATTTCAGCACCATAATTACTACAGCATGCTATTGTGTTTATGGTGTTTAGAGAGTTCCTTTAATTAAAATAAATTTAAAATAAAATGGAACATCGTATGAAAAACGGTTAACACAAATTATAGTGGATTTCAATATTATTTCCAATGGTGTAAATTTCAGAGAAAATAATTTCTCTATAAAAGAAAATATGTCTCAAATCAAGAATTACTGCTAGAGTAGAAAGCACACAATATGAATGTTAAAGGGACACTATAGTCATCAGAAAAACTTCAGCTTATTGTATTTGTTCCGGTGAGTAGAATCAGTTCCTGCATGCTTTTTTTCTGTAAAAACTGTCTTTTCAGAAAAAAGGCAGTGTTTACATTACAGCTTAGGGATACCTCCACTTGCCACTCCTCAGATGGCTACTAGAGGTGCTTCCTGGAGCAGTGCTGCACACTGCATGCAGACACTGAACTTTCCTCAGAGATGCATTGACTCAATGCATCTCAATTAGGAGATGCTGATTGGCCAGAGTGGTGTTTGGCTTGTGCTAGCTCTGCCCTTGATCTGCCTCCTTGAAAATCTCAGCCAATCCAATATTTTCCTATGGGAAAGCATTGTAATTTGCTCAGATCACCACTTCTGATGATGCCAGTCAAGCAGGCAGATCAGGGTCAGAGTCAGCAGCAGCAGACTGGAATAAAGGTAAGATTTTACTATGATTAGGGGGCAAGGGTGGGTCAGGGGGCTAGATGGCGTTTTTAACACTATAGGGTCAGGAATACATGATTGTGTTCCTGACTCTATAGTGTTCCTTTAAGTTTTGTGGTCAGCACATTCAGATTGTCATCAGAAATCTATTTGAGTATATCTGATCTTAGAAGCTGAGAACATGCATTTACCTCCAAACACACTGCATGGACTATTTGTAACATTTAAAATATAACCAATATATTCCAAATTAGTTTTTAGAACACACTACCAGACAAGGAAGTGGGGATATTTGTAGAATGTAGACAAGCGTGGTAATGAAAACACCAGGGACACTTATTAAGAAGGGGTAGAATTAAAACCTTATCTAACATTTCCCCCCCAAAAAAGTCTCAAAAATATCAGATGGAGAATTAACCAAACAGATGCAGTGGTGAAAGATATAGTTATGGATTGAAGATCAGAACGTGGGGTAGCAGCATAGGAAAAATAAAACTAGATACACAATGATGAAAATTTGCCACTTATGATAAATAATTTTAATATGAATGATCAGTACAGTATTTTGACAAGATCTAAGTCCTTTTTTTTTTAAACTCCCTGGATGTTCTTTGTTCCTCTTATTTCTTTGATAGAATCCCAAGTTAAGTGCAGCATTGTATTGAAGGCCCATTCTCCTCTGCAAAATCTGCTGTGACCAATACTTTGGCTGCGATATAATGTGTAATCAAATACATTAGACTCTTGACTGTGTGAAATAGGTCTCTACAGTAATGAACTACTACTGTGTACATCACTAGAAGCTAGTCTAGTTTAGAGGATACATGTAAAAATAATCCATATGTTTTTGCAAATCATGTTCAGGAGGTGGGTACACTGGCCATTGAAGACAAAGTACAATCACAACGCTGATTTCAAAATGATCTCTCAGGAAGTGCATTCGAAGCTCGAAGCACATGAGCATCTTTTTTGACACTCTATGCACGGCTTGTCTTCTTTTTTACATAAGTTAGACGGAATAACGTTATTATATTTTTACAAACCTCATTATGTCTGGATGTTTGTCCTGCAGCTTCTACTTGGCGTTACATTTGTATGGTGACCCTACTATAGGAACAAATTAAAATACAGTGGGAATCCAAAAGTGTGACTTGTCCTTAAGGTGTCACTGTGACCGATGGGCACCACAGTGTGACCCCACCAGATCAATGCAGTCACACCATCACGTTGCCCGATCAGCACTGCAATGTGACAGCGCATCCGATCGGTGCGGTCACACTAAAAGAGGGAGAGGTTACTCACCCTCCAGCGCCTCTCCCTCCCCTCCGTGCAGCTCTTAACAGAGCGGCCGGGTCCAGCGTTAGCAAGGAAGCCGGCCGCTGCAATCGTCACATTTTCACTATTCACGCACGCTCTGGGGTCATGGGACCTAAATTAGCCGTTAGCAGGGTTTACTGGGTTATTTAAACCCAAACCTGCAGTTGTTCAGTGCCCTGTCGTGGTTTCCATCCTGTTGGTTATCGAGAGCGCGTTCCTGATACTGTTTATTGGTTTTTGATCTTGGCTTGACTTCCTGTATTTCTGGTATCCCTGACCCTTTGGCTTTGTTCTTATCGTATTTGCTCCTTTCTGTATTCCTGACCTTGGCTCGTGTCTGGTTATTTTCTTACCATAAATCCAGCCATTCTAAGGCTCGGTAATACGTTGTTACGGTTTGTTATTTTTGTCAGTGTTTGACTTAGTTCTGCGTGTTGGGCCACTGGTTCGTCCTGACAAAATGTTGAGCACCGATGATATACATACTTACTAGAGTTTAAAATCAATGCATACACAAGGGTGGAGCCTGACCGCCAAGTCGATAGGGCGTGTGGAGATCGAGCTCCCTTCCGCTCGCAGGATCTCTCTGGTATGACCACGGTTTTCTAGCCACAATGATCCCCACAGTGTGCTATCTGTGTATGGGAAACTTCGACGAACCCAGAGATACTATTGACGTGCAGCTTGGTAGTCAGGGCCCCACGGAGTCAATCTGCAGCCTACAAGTGACTGTGCTGGGGCTAGACGGCCCCTCTACAGACATCCACATGGACTTACCTAGCTCCTACCCCACCCTCCCACGTGGACCAGTGGGGATTATCACGGTCCCCTCTGCAACATCAAGCACAACTCTGATGAACAGTCCCAAAAGCTTACGGTGCCAGCAACACTCAAAATGGCAGAGAGAAATACTCTTAAGCTGCAGAGCCTGTCACTGTTCAGACCAACAGGACTATGCCACTAATATCCCGTCACATCTGGAAGCAGCATTTGAGCACTTCTGGGCACAACTAGCAGAGTGGTTGGCAACATCGCATTTCCCACGCTTTGAGAGCGATCAGAGATTCTAGAGACAAGAGTTGGGAAAGACCCCTCATGGAAATTCAACGTCACAAGCTTGTGTCTCACTACTCACCCACCCTCCACGACTGAGGGCCAGACAGGGATTGCACCCACCACATCGTCCACCCAAGCGGAAAATCACTCGCCGGTATTGGCGCCAAAACATCCAGACTTACCGTATTCTCCCCCAAGGGAGAAACTTACACCATGAGATCCTAGGTCTGCGGCATTGGAGTGTGGTCCTTCCCGATCCGCCTGGGGCTGGAGGCAAATCACCCCTTGGCTTTCTCTGGCTGTTCATGCCAGCGTACTTTTTCGTTCTACTCTGAGCCTACCAATTGTGGGAGTTGGCTGAAGGCCTGTACACCAGCATATGGTGACCTATCAGCTAAACATTAGAGCCTAGCAATCTCAGTCACCACCATTTTGGTTGTCTTGTTTTACAATGATTACACTCCATCTTCCACTGAATGTAATGGTCCTAGGAAAGCGCTGCTGATATCAAAGGTTTAATTTTCATCACTGCGTTATTGCCTTGTTATTCTGTTACTTCTAAAGCCTGCAACACCAATTTGACCCAGATATGTAAGTTTAACATAATGATTTTTCTAATCATACAAAAAGTGCCGTCTGCTCTTGACATTTTATACTGTTGTTGCATCCATGTCTTGTAATCCATCTTGTGAAATGTTTCTGCATGCCAGAATGCCAAACTATGCACTACAAAAATAAAGAAAAAATAAAAGCAATGCATACATATTAGCCCTACACCATGTGGTGTAGATTCTCTCTCACACAGTTTCCTACAAAATACCAGTAAGAATCTTAACGTGACAATGTTACATGCTCATAATGTTATAGCTCATTGTAGCGGTTATGGTGTTTTGAGTCTGTAAACACCAATCTCTGGTGTACGCACCCTGGATTATCTGTATTGACAATAGTACAACAAATTAATTTGGATAATGCAGAAGTGTCAATAAGAAGTTTTTCTTCACCTGCTAAACCATTTAATCATTTAGATTTATTCTATTCCCACTGTTAAAACTGGGAATTACAAAAATAAATTAGTTTCTTTGAAAATACAGGCGTAGTCCGCTCCATACTATTCATGGACCTTTTGGATTTGACAGCAAGAAGCGTTTGAAAAATATTTTTTGCCTAATTTCCGCTGGAAGCACTAAAAAAAAAAAATGAAAAGCTTTTGGGAGTCAAAAAGACCCCCACATTAGTACAAGGGGGTTATATTCACTCCATGCCCAGTTGCTAGCAACATACAGATCCTCCCCATGCTCACACCAGAGGGGACGTTCATTAAGAAAATTAAAGCAATTAATAATAGGCGGCAGGTGGGGATTATTATACTATAATGAGGGTGCCATTTATTGCCCTCCAGCCCTCACTCACAGGGCTCTAAGTAATAAACTATGCCCCCAACCCACACATTATTAGTTAGCTGGATTCCACCGTGGAGGCAAGGGGCACAATATGTCCCCCCCCCCAGCTTTATTATTTTTTTAAATAAATGGTCCCACAGTGTGGTCTCAGAAGTTGGTCACTGATGTGTCCACATCACGGTCCTTTCATTAGAAGCCACCACCACAAAGCCCACCTGTACTTGGTCCTCCCTGTAGGTTGTAAATACAGAAATAAGGTACAGGAAGCAGGACTGTATCTTGAATACCCCAACAATCCAAGAAAAATGGAAAGGATAACAGTAAAAACTACGCCAAACACATAAATAGGAGTGTCACATAAATAAGTGGATATATACGATTTAAATCTAACAACTTGAATACAAAGTACAGTATATGTCCCAAAGAGAAAAGTATTTCTGCTAGAGAGTGTCTTTTTTTTTTTTTAGAGGTTAGTCGGTTATCCTACTTGATGGGCAAACGATCAGATCTTTATGTAAGATGAGAGGGCAATCTGTTCTGGGATCAGCTCTCAATATCTCATACGAAATGTAAACCTAGAAAAAAAATTGTGTAACCCAGTATATTCAAAGACCTACTTTCTATAGTGATAAATATACACTCACAAATAGAGAGCCTCCAATCAGATCTTAGAAGGCGATTAGAGCGGTATGATCCCGGCTCACGGATAAAGACATATCTGAGTGGAGATCAAACCGCTCTAAGCGCTATCTAAGCTCATTGAAGCTTTGGATATTGAGCAGAGGTTCGGGGACAGAGTGAACAGGAGTCATTCCAATGAAGATATGTTGTCCATAGTGGTCCTTTAACTTTCTTTCACAATATCAGCCAATGCAAATCATTTAGGTAAAATGTAATCAATGCACAATTAAACAGCCAGCTTCAACATTTTCCTAGGTAGATAAAATATTTAAAGAGAAAAATTAAACAATATAGAAATCAAAACAACAATTAAGAAATGCTGCTTTTATTTCACAAGAGCAGAGGCTACTGCAGTCACTGCACGTTTCTTGTTAAATGTCCACTATGCTGAAAACACACATTTATTAGAAATCACATTAATCTCTGCAGAGCTGAATGACTAAGAGGCGCCAAACTGGCCTACACCAGGGAGAAAAAAAAAAGAAGAAAATCTATTGGCACTAAGTAAATTTTGTTTAAAAAAATGACTAGAACCTTGGATTTTTCATTGCAGAATGAGTCTATTTTTTATTCTTGAATTAAATAAGAGTACTCCTAACAAGTAAACCCAGTGAGTTTAAAACAGCCTTTTCTGTAAATCAGGGAACGATTCCTCCACTTCAAGCAATCACGGGGATGCGTTGACAAACGGGAGAACCTCAACTGGTCTTGGGCACGTAAAGCAGCACCTTCCACTGGATCCATGACTTCCATCCACACAGCAGCTTTTATATCCCTGAAAACATCCTTTGAAAAAGCGTACGTGCACATATGAAGCCCGAGTCAGCCTCCATGTTTCAACCCTTTGCTTGTCTTTCTTCTTCTTTTATTTAAGCTCTGCTATAGTGTTTCAGCCTGGCTCCTGTGCACAGGTCGATCCCACAGGGAGGAGGAATGCAGGGCTCAGTACATTTTCTGCCTAGTAGGCAATATGGCTTCCTTAATGAATGAGAAGATAACAAGGATTCCAGAACGTTTTCCTCTCTTACCTTTCGTAAAATAGTTGGAAACCACGTCATCTACAGGACAAAAAAAAAAACCATAATAAGTATCATCAAATGACTGTCGTCAACCTCCATTGTCCATTCAGGGCGTTGATAGGTTTCAATCTCTTTATTGCCATATCAGCAGAAATATTTTTTTCCCTCACATTTTTACATTATTGTATGCTTTAAACTATTCAGGACAGATCTGAACAATTAAGGCTTTTTTAAGGTTCCTGAAAAATAGCTCCTGGATCTACGACTGGCAATTAAAAAAAATAATTGTATAATTGTGTCACTAAAAAGTAATCGGCTTACCATTTAAAATGACTCAAAAAAGAAATAAAGACAAACTAAAACACATACAGACTGCTGTAAGCTCATGGGAGTTTATCATATGGTCCCTCAACCCCATGAACTTCAGTAGGTGTTATAAGTCGTATTCATAAATAAACATGATTAAATAATGAGGCTATTTGGCAAGCTAACAATAGCCATTGTGCTGTGAGTACACAGTCACTTTAAAAACTAAAAATAATATTGTGAACCGGTTGTCAAAAATCACCTTACCCTAAATTGCTCCATATACATTGAATATATCACATCACAAAGATACATGGTGTACTCAATGTAAAATATAGAGATTAACGCATCTCTTCTCCATTCCAGGGCTGCCATCGTCGAGCTTGGTAGGTGATACTCTTCATGGAACACCCACCTTCGCTCCTCTCCCGCTCCACCCCTGGTCATTAGTGATTTTCCCTGCGTGGGGCAAGCCACCTCAGTGACGCCGGTTTCATTGCCAGCAACTGGACGGAGTGACATCCTGTCGTTCCGTTCCTATCCTCTTTCCGGAGCATGAGGGAGAGGAAACTAGGGAGTTTCCATAGGAACCACAGAACATGCACTGTGGTTGCTATGCTTAGGAGGCGAAAAGGACCTCCTGTGGGAGATGCTTTTCCCTCTTGTCAGGACAGCTGGGAGGAAAGCCTATATTTAAATAGTTTTTTTCTCCTAATCTATACAATGTGCTAGTAAAACTGCTAGCACAATGTATGTATAGATGTTTCGGGCATAACACATGCCCTTTAAGAAGGAGTTAAGTAAATGCTAGCCTTTCAGTGGTGAAATAAGAAGCACTGTAGGAAGTGCAGCTGTATCTGGTCCCAAGAGAGAAACATAGGTGGGCAAGACCTTGCTCACGTCTTCTTGACAATTTCCTGTGTTTGCAACAATGTATCCGCTGTATCAAGTCATGTTGCAGTGATATCAATAGTAGTTAGGAGTCACAAGGGGCAGATTTAAAAATCTATATACCATGAGAAATATCCATCTCTTTCCTTACTAAAAGGCTAGCAAAAATGAAAGGAACCCAATAGTTCTTTTGGATCCCAGGACCCTATTTTATTGTTTAAAAACAAAAGCCAATGAAATTAACCCTTTACTCACATGCAATTCATAGATGAGAGAGCTTCTCTGCAGCTCAATCCGCCATCGATGACATCAGGATTGATGACCATTTTGTCCAATCAAATCTCAGAGAAGCATTGTGGATTTAATGTGCATTTGCAGCAATCGTGATGATCCAATCAAATGTTTGTCATAGACATAGACTGAATCCAATGCTTCTCTATGAGAAGCACCAAACGTTCGACATCCTCATGCAGTGAATGAGGATGTCAAGTGTGAAGAACTGTGTTTGACTTGGTTCTGGAGGCACCATCTCCCACAGCTCTAGCTTGAAGGTGTATTAAGCCCAACAATGCAAACACTGCTGTCTCTCCTAAATGGCAACGTCTCAAATTGTGGGAATGAAACAGTAGGGACAATGGACCTAGAACACTTCATTGAGGTGAAGTGGTCTCAGTGCTGATAGCATTCATTGACGTTAAGCAAAGTATAAAAAATGTAAAAAAAAAAAAAAAAAGATACACAACAATCCTATGCCCCAAAAATGGCCCTCAACCAATGACTCACTTAACAGAAACTATGCCACAGGCGAGTCCATTTTAAGGCAGTTCAGGATGTATGTGACATTAAGGACTCACCTCCTTGCTGGATTGTAGATGGCAACACATTCTCTCCCGCTGACAGGGACACGAAGAATGCAAAAGGTATAAGCCACAGACAGAAGGTAAAGTATGCAAGGACCTGCAGCGGAAAAAATAAACACACACATCACCGGCATGTATATCATTAAGAGAATTACCTTGGACTTCTATGTTTATACCAGAACACTAAAATCAAACAATCAGCAGGCACCAGTTCACAGTTTTAGAAACACTTTGAAGATTTCATTGGTTACAGGAGCACCTTCACCTACTCCCTTTACTCTTCACATGGTGTTTGAAAGGGCACAGGGACCTCTAATTACGTATCACACAGGGACAGTCTGCACCACTACTACCACCAAGGGCGGAACTGCTGATCGCCCCATATCCTCTCACCTCCGACTGCAGTGGGGGAGAAGGAGAGGGAGCATAACGGAACTGAAAAGTGTGTGTCAGTGAAGATAATTTTAATCACTTCTGACAGACAAGGACACACATTTTGGGCATTTAGTCTCATTTTTGTGATTCCACAGTGACTTGGATTTAACAAGCACTGACTTACTATTAAAGGGGCAGTATAAGTACTACAATCCCCACAGCATCTCTTTTTGTCACATTTTAAAGAACAATTTACACTTATTATTATTATTATGATATTTATATAGCGCCATCAAATTCCGCAGCGCTTTACAATGGGTGGACGAACAGACATGTAGTTGTAACTAGACAAGTTGGACACACAGGAACAGAGGGGTTGAGGGCCCTGCTCAATGAGCTTACATGCTAGAGAGAGTGGGGTAAAATGACACAAAAAGGTAAGGATAGTATTAGACTAGTGACAGTTGCAGAAGAGGAATCAGTCAGGAGCTATTAACAGTTTAATTGATACGCTTTTATGAAGAAGTGGGTTTTTAACGATTTTTTGAAATCGTGGGTGAACATCTAAAGGAGGAGGGAAGCGAGTTCCACAGGAACGGTGCAGCCCTCGAGAAATCTTGAAGGCACACAGAGGTGGGAGTACGGACAGAAGATAGACGTAAGTCTTCAGCAGATCGTAAGGGCCTAGACGGGACATACTTGTGTATAAGGGAGGATAGATAGGTGGGAGCAGCATTATGTAAAGATTTGAAAGCAAGAACCAGAATTTTAAATTGAGCTCTATATTTTATAGGAAGCCAATGTAGGGACTGACAGAAGGGTGAGGCATGGGAGGTGCGGGCGGATAGGAAGATGAGCCTCGCTGCCGCATTCATTATGGACTGTAACGGCGCTAGCTGGGAGCACGTAAGACCACTGAGAAGCGGATTACAGTAGTGAAGGTGAGAAATGTCAGTGGAATGGACCAACGCCTTAGTTGCATTTGGCGTTAAGTAGGGGCGGATGCGCGCAATGTGTTTGAGATGGAAATGACAGAATTTGGCGATAGATTAAACATGAGGCTTGAAGGAGAGGTCGGAGTCAAAGAGAACACCTAGGCAGCGAGCCTGCGTGGTGGAGCTGATGGTAGCACTGTTGACTTGGAGGGAGACAGACACAGGAGTAACAACACTTAAGGGAGGAAAGACCAGAATTTCACAAATGCCCTAGAGACTCCCTTTGTTTAGCAAACTGCTGACTAGCACCATAGTCACAACAATGTACTATATTGGTTATGGTGCTCAATCGGTTCCTTTGCAATATATTTAAACACACCAATGTGATCTATGATAACCTCTTTCATGCAGTGCTAATACAAACAAATGCCAAGCAGCCTATTAAAGCAATCAGTGTCCTTGACAGATTAACCAAATTCCCCTTGAGTAGTGTATCTTGTGCAAGAGGATTGCTATAATGCCAAGCAGTTGGCAGTGCTTGTCTTATGCACCAGCGCACAATAACAGATCCTTCACATACAACAAACAGCTGGTGTTACCCTCTAACCTAACCACACAGCAATCAAAACAGGTGGATAAGAATTAAGGGTATCTGCTATTCACGGTCCACTTCTTAGTTAAAAATATTTCAGTGACAAAAACCATTTCAACACACTATAGGGACTAACATGTTTTTAAATTAAAGGCAGGAATGTCATGAGTATGGGTGGAATAAACAGGTTCCATCGGTGGAGCAAGCACTCTGTCATTGGTGGACACTCTGGAATATTCTTCCACTGTGTGCATGTGTGAATAGAAATTAAATTACTGACTCACACTTTAATGAGAGAATATTTACAACAATCTGTGAAATGTACGAGAGGTATTACACACAGAAACTGGGCTTAATTCCTTTTATACAAGGTTTGCCGACTCACTACAAACAAGCATAAAAAGAGACTGAAATCAGTAAAATGATTTTGCTGTAAATATAAAATATAAAAACTTATTTCAAGCACACCTTACAGATCACTAAAGGGACAAATCAAAGGATCAAACACTGGTTATAGTTTGTAAAAGCTGCATACACCAATCTTCGTTAGTATCGCTTCCACCTACAAGTTCTAACTACATCACAAACTGCATGAACCTTTCACAGGGAATATAGAAAACGAGATAAAAAGCATCCAATACCAGTGAATTAAAGTAACTGGTTGCTGGATAATGAGAGCCTGTACACAGCACCAATGCACGATGCACATTTCCAATAGGAACAGACAGGATGAGGATTGGTTGCAACAGATGGACCAGAGGAACTTGCTGTAAAACAGACTAAGGGATCCACCTCTGTAAAGAAAATAAGTTAATTCATTGTATGCCTTATAAACTGTGCTGTTGTATTATAGATCCAATGATGCTTTGCTAGACTTTAAAACAGTCAATGTTGTTCTCAAACATCAGGGGATCTACCTTCTGGGCTCTTCTCTATTAGGTATGGGGCTAATTTGGAGAAAGTTTGAGTTACCTATCAGCACCCGATCCCCAGAGCTACTCCACAGATGCTCCACAATCATTTGTTGTGGTTTAAACAAGTATGGCGCAAGGTTTTATTTTCATACATAGATATTCTAAAATATAAACCACAAAGCCTATAAACACATGCTGCTTATAAAAAAGTTACACATTCAACAAGTACAGATTTTCATAAATTAGAAAATATACAACTCAAAAGGAAAATTTTAGCTTTTTTTGGAAAGTAGATATGCAAAGAAGAGCTGATCGAGTTTAAAGAGACTATCAATCCTTTCCCTAACCCGACAGCATATCAAGGTAAGTGGCAGGGGGCTGATCCAGCTGCGATATAAGACGCCTTGTGTTTGCAGTATACTATAATCACGTACCTCTGAGAAGGGGTAATACTCTTCAGCGAAGAACTGGAAAGCCAAGTAGTGATTCAGCACCACAAGAGCTGTCAAGGAACATTAAAGATTTAGCTGTGAGATGTAAATACAGAGGCTTTATTTAATCACCAACAACTGTTTATACATTCAAGTCAGTGCGCGAGCGCTGATAAAGCTTATGTTGGCAAAATACAAAGCCTGCAGCTGCGGACACTTTAACAGCAGAATCCTAAACAGATTACACACTCATTTCATATTGTGCTTCACTGATTTCATTTCAGTACGCTGAGCTGTACTGAGAGCAGTGTACATGGAACTGCTCACATGGGACAACTGCAGTAATTTAATTCTCTATTGGGATTACTGTACTCCAGCTACACGGCTAACTCGGTATACCGTATACTGAAAGTCTATACACGGTGTACAATGCTAACTCAGTATACCATATACTGACAGTCTATACACTGTGCACAATGCTAACTCAATATACCGTATACTGACAGTCTATACACTGTGCACAATGCTAACTCAATACACTACATACTGACAGTCTATACACTGTGCACAATGCTAACTCAATATACCATATACTGACAGTCTATACACTGTGCACAATGCTAACTCAATATACCGTATACTGACAGTCTATACACTGTGTACAATGCTAACTCGATACACTACATACTGACAGTCTATACACGGTGCACAATGCTAACTCAGTATACCGTATACTGACAGTCTATACACTGTGCACAATGCTAACTCAGTATACCGTATACTGACAGTCTATACACTGTGCACAATGCTAACTCAGTATACTGTAAACTGACAGTCTATACACTGTGTACAATACTAACAGTCTATACACTGTGCACAATGCTAACTTTGTATACAGTACAGTCTATACGCTGTGTATACGGCTAGCTCAGAATACTATAGACTGACAGCCTATGTAGCATGGTGAATACGGAGTGCAATACATATTTTACATCATTACAAAGGGCATAGTTCTTAGAGCACCCCTAGCTCACTCTGATCTCTGCTGCTGTAAGATAGCAGTACATTTTAAAAAACAGTCCAGTATTAGTAAATCAACGTGTGGTGACTGAAAAAGCTTTTTGGGGATAAACTACTTATCACTTAATTCCCAATGCACTCGAATGTTAGGAGCTTGATTGGAAGGTCTCATTTAGGCATGGGAGCGTGTCTGCAGATGTAGTCAAACCCACTAAGCAGTGCACAGAGTGACACTTTTCAGAGAACCGGTAACATATCTTTTTACTTTATTTTTCATCAAAATATATATATATATGTATATAAAAATAATGACTTGTTTAGAATTAAACTTTAAAAATATCTTGTCAAATTCAAAGTAGACAATACCTTAAAGCAGCGATTCCCAATTAGTTTTTCCAGTGGTACCCTTTGACATAGTGTACCAACATTGTGGAACCCCTACATTTTTGGGGGTCATTACCTTTTAATTAGCAGAGTGTTAGGTTTTCTTTTTTTTTTACAAATGTAGTTTTTTTTTTTGTATATACACACACAATAATTTCCACAGATACTAAACAGGTTGTAGTACTCAGGAGTGTATGCTTGTGTGTAGAGTTGGGGTTTGTATATAATTTTAGCGTTTTAATACAGGGATGTGTTTGTATGCAATGTTTGCATTTGCGTGCAGGGGTGTGTGTAGATGTAGTGTTGGATTTAAATGCAGATGTACATTTGTGTGTAGTATTGGTGTTTGAGTGTTTATATACAAGTTTGGAGTTTGAATTCAGGTGTGTTTTTGTATGTAATGTTAGTGTTTGCATGGGTGTGTTGGTGTTTCATTGCTGGGATGTATGCACACTGCCACATACATACTTACAAAGATATGCATACACATACACACACACACCTTGACACACAGATACAAACAAACACACACACTGGCACATACACACACACTCAGAAACACACAGTGACATGCAGTTGTAATCAAAATGATTCAACCCCCATTGAAAATCATCTTTATTTCAGCTGTTTGCAATGAACAAATCAAACAAAGCAAACTAAATAGCTCAACATAAGAAATGCTTCCACTGGTTTCCCCACATTCAACTGAAAATGCAACTTATATTGACTTCTCCAGTCTCAAATGTATTCAACCCCCTAAACAGAATGCCCCACAATAGCAGAAATATGCAAAACAAGTGCTGTCTCAAGCACACCTGATGAGACTAGCCAAGGTTCTATTAGTTGCAACAGGTGTGTTGGAGCTGAAACATTTGAAATACCTGAACTGGCTAGGGGTTTGTTGAGTGTCACGTTTAACTGCATGCTAGAAATATGGATTAGTCAAAATAATTGGTCACAAATTTAAGAGAAAAGATGATCGCCATTCACAAACAAGGAACAGGATGCAAAAGAATAGCGAAAGCACTGAGTCCTAGAGACACAGTAGACAGACGGCAAGACGTGGTCGCCCAAGGAGGGATTTGAACCGGGGAACTTCGCAGTCCTGGTCCTGCTTCCTACCTCTGAGCCACAGCAGCTTTTGTATTCCACAAGTAATTCCAGTCCTGTTCATCCTGGCATGTCTATTACTCTGGCGGCTGTACCTTGACTTTGGCTGTGCTTCACCTGACCCTGATCAGACATTAGCAGGGTATTTAAACTCAGCCTCGCCCTGTGATCAGGATCAAGTCTTTGATCCTGTTGTGTGTTTTGTACCAGTGTTCCTGTCGTTTTGACCTGCTACTTATTATTGACCCCGGCTTCTGACTACGTTTACTCTGGTATCCCTTGACTTCGGCTACTCCTTATTGTTCCTGTCCTCTGGCATCCTTTGACCTCGGCTATCCCTTGACGATCCTGTTGTTTGAGTCCTTGCCTGTCCTGCGACTTGGTACTTCATCCTGCACAGCCCCCTTGCACAGACCCACAGGCCGGGTGAATTCTTACCTGACCACCTTGGCCTGTGGCTATCTGCAAGGGTGAGCAACATATCTGCGCTACAGAGTCCAAACCCAGGTAAGACCCTGACACATAGTTCGCAAGTTCAAAGTTGCAAGAACAGTGGTTATACTTGTACTGAACATGGCAAAAAAACAGGTAGCTATCAATGGGTGCAACCAGATTTATGAGAAGGCAAGTTGTGGAAAAACTTTTGAGTGACTGCATAAGACCTGCAGCAAGACTTGCTTGCAACAGGCACTGAGGTTTTTAGTGAGCACAGTAAGGTGCGTAGTAAACGCAGAAGGTTTCCATGCCAGAAATACACCACTAATGACCCAAAACCACAAGAAAAGTCGGCTCCACTATGCTCAAAATCATATAAATAAGCCACAAATTTTGGGAATCTGTTCTGTGGAGCGATGAAACAAAACTGTAACTTTTTGTCTGGAGTAGGCATACGCTGAAAAGAATACTCTGCCTACAGTTAAGCATGGTGGTGGCTGCTTTGCATTCTATGGCACTGGAACCAGCAGCACGTGGAAGGAAAGATGGATTAATTTAACGATCAGAAAACCCTAGGAGAAAATGTCATGCCATCTGTGAGGAAGTTGAAGCTTCCAACAAGACAATAATAACAACAACAACAAAGTATTTAACCAGGAAAGGCACATTCCGATTACTCTGGTATTCAAGTACGTCCAAGGGATGTCACCTTTGCCAAACATCCAGGGGTTGTTACTATTACCCAATTTAATGGTACTCATTTTATCTACCTCGGGAAGGATGAAGGGCTGGAGTCAACCCTGCTGGGATTCGAACCTACGACCCAAGGGTTGAACAGATTCTACTGATGATGCATTAGCCCACTGAGCTCTCTCACCAGCAATGATCCCAAGCATACCTCAAATTCCACCAAGACTTAGTTGCAGAAGTCGTCCTGGAAAATGTTACTGTGGACATCACAGTCAGCAGACTAGAACCCTCTTTGGGGGGGATTTGAAGAAGGCGGTTGCAACACGCTCACCCAAGAATATTTCTGAACTGTAGGCCAGGGATAGGCAACCTTTGGCACTCACGATGTTGTGGACTACATCCCCCATAATGCTCTTACACTCAAAATGCTGTCAAAGTATCATGGGAGGTGTAGTCCAAAACATCTGGAGTGCCGAAGGTTGCCTATGCCTTCTGTAGGCCGTGTAGGTCATGAGCAATGGGCTAGTATTCCTGAGGAACGCTGACATAAACTGGTGTCTGGCAACTCATCGCGTTCGCAGCAGGTCATAACAGCAAAAGGGTGCTCTACTATGTACTAGAGATGCTTGCCATGAAGGGATTGAAATTGAGACTGTAGAAGTCATTACATGTTGCATTATTAAGTGAATTTTGGGAAACCACTTGAAGCATTTGTTTTGTTGAGCTATTTCAATGGTTTGTTTGATTTGTTCATTGTAAACAGCTTATAGCCTGTATATTTTTACAATAAACCCGATTTTCAATTTTGTTTGCAACTGTAAACACCTCGACACACACAGAGATACACACACCATAATGTTTTTATTTGCAGCCACCCTCCTCCTGTTCGCATACCCATTGTCTGTAGGAGGGTGGCTTGCTTGGAGTGCTGCTTGCTGAGGCTGATCTGTGGAAGGTCTGCAACAGCTCACTCCCTACTGTTGCCTCTCTCCAGGTGTCACTTCCTCCCAGCATTGATACTACAGCAATACCCATTGGGTGGCCCTAAATGCAAATAATGGCGGCCGTTTTGGATTGGCAAATCACAATGGGACCTCAGTTTTGTTCTCGCAGAACACCAATTGGAAAACTCTGCCTTAAAGTATAGTGAGAGGGGGTATTACATTATAAGGTTTGGAGTGAAGCTTGAAATTAACAAAATTAAACAAACTGTAGCTAAAGGCTGCAATTTTAAGTAAAAAAAAAATGAAGGGGGCTGAATACTTTCTCAGCACATTGTATATCAATATCATTAAAAACCCCAACCCCTCCCCGCCAACAGAGGAGTACTCACCACAGGATAGAATGAAGTTGGGGGATGTTAGCAATATGAAAGGGAACGTCTGTAGCAACCCAAAGTATACTACATTTGTGAAAAGTCCTACTCCCACCATCACCCCGGGGAACTTCTCAAACAGGTACAGGCCAATCAGCACCCCTGTAGAAAACTGAAAGGCAAAACCACAAGATCACTGAACATGTTCAAACGGCCTGTTCCAGGGGTACCCAATAGGTAGATCTCCAGCTGTTGTAGAACTAAACCTCCCATGATGCTTTGCGTGCCTTTAAAATGCCTTTAGAATGACAAAGCATTGTGGAAGGTGTAATTTTAAACCACCTGGGGATCTACCTTTTGGGCACCACTGGCCTATATAAATAACAGAGAGAAGAAAGACACAGGTCTGGTAATACACAGACACATACACAGTTCTGGTAATACGAGCAGGCAGGATATAAACTCATGGAACAGTGTAACACAAACGACTGAAAATTATGGTAACAAAGATCTAAACAAACCAGAACAAGAGGTATACTGAATTCTTTTCTTAATATTTATATTACATGTTTAAGAATTCCATACTGCACGGATGGTGAAGCCATCAATGGCTGCATGATTTCCATCAGCCTAAAAGGTAATGCTATAGTATCCTAGTAACAATTTCAATATACATTAACAGCAGCTGTCAGTCAATGAGACTGCAAATCACTACCTCATGTCACCCCTCCTTGTGTTCCAAGCATGCAGAGCTCAGCTAAATCTACTGCAATGTACTGGGCTAGCTGCCTGACAGTGATAGGAGTATCATTGCTCCCACCAGTAACCGCACTGTACATGCTGGGATCTCAGTGATCCCAGCATTTAGTGGCTGCCTGAGAGTGACAGGAGTGTGAATATTGTCAGCATGTTCAATCAATGTCAGATTTCTGTAAAAATGGTGTTGCTTTTTCAAACCCTTAAATGTAAAGGATATTGGCAATCGGCAGAATGGAGAGCGATAATCTTTATCGTCATTGGCTCTGGAAAAATGATAGTCTATTTTAATAGTTCTATACACATGAACATTGAAAACCACATAATGAAAGATTTATACAACTTACCCAGATCATGTACTTTATGATTCTGCTTGTTGCTACAGTATATTCCTCTATTAACTCCGCCAAGTAGTAAAGTCCGGCAGCTGAGGAAGAGGTGGCATGGTTAAAAAATAAAAATTAAAAATAAAATAGGAGTTTATTGTTATCAGTGATAATTTAGTTAGTACAAATTGATGGAGCAGGTGTATATACACTGTGTGTACACAGTGGCAGTATGACTGTACTTGTGATATCAAGGTCACAGTTTCATGCCTTTTGTAGCGACCTTTTCTGTAATGGATATTTCTAATGGAAAATTACGTAATTTAGGTACAGAAAGATTTTTATTTAGCGCAAATTTATTTGTCATAGGATTAGAGGGAGTGCACAACATTATACGGTCTGTCTAGACAGTAAAAGTCAGGTAGTCACCTAGAAATTTAACAGTTAAACCCCTCCTAATACTCCACCTTCTTAAAAGGACCACTCTAGGCACCCAGACCACTTCAGCTTAATGAAGTGGTCTGGGTGCCAGGTCCAGCTAGGGTTAACCCATTTTTTCATAAACATAGTTACAGAGAAACTGCTATGTTTATGAATGGGTTAAGCCTTCCCCTATTTCCTCTAGTGGCTCTCTCATTGACAGCCGCTAGAGGCACTTGCGTGCTTCTCACTGTGATTTTCACAGTGAGAGCACGCAAGCGTCCATAGGAAAGCATTATGAATGCTTTCCTATGTGACCGGCTGAATGCGCGCGCAGCTCTTGCCGCACGTGCGCATTCTGCCGACGTTGAGGAGAGAAGGAGGATCGGAGGAGGAGAGCTCCCCGCCCAGCGCTGGAAAAAGGTAAGTTTTAACCCCTTTCCCCCTTCCAGAGCCAGGCGGGAGGGGGACCCTGAAGGTGGGGGCACCCTCAGGGCACTATAGTGGTCCTTTAATAAAACCCCAACTTGTCCTAATAATGTCTCTTATGCATGTTCAGTGTCTAATATCTGCAACACTATTATGCTCTCTGATCACCACCTCTTATAGTTTGCTCTCAAGTTCCCCCTCACCCAATAACCTCAGCCTAACCCCCTCAACACAGAATTAATTCTATTGACCTCCAGCAGCTGTCAGCTGATATTGATTCACAACTGCTATCCATCCCTTCCCATCTCCACATATAACACTACCCTCACCTCTGCTATGGATGCTGCAGCCCGCCCCGCTCCAAACATGCACCTCCAGGAGGGCACCCCCCCAACCGTAGCATACTAAATGAACACGCTACCTGCAAAAATGCTCCGGTTCCGCTGAACGCTCCTGGAGGAAGTCCCGCACCCAGGCAGACTTTCTCCATTATAGATTCATATTGTGTTCATACAGCACAGCCCTTGCCCTCACCAAACTGTCCTACTTTTCTTCTCTCATTAGATCATGCTCCCGCAATCCCAGGCGTTTCTTTGATACCTTCAACTCTCTTCTTCGCCCTGCTGTGGCCACCCCCCAAACTAACCTTATAGCCGATAGCTTTGCATGCTACTTTACCGACAAGATTGACCAGGAAAGGAAAGAATTCTCCCCACCTTGCCCCTCTATTTCTCAACCACACGTAGATCATGCCTTTCCTACCCTTCAGACTTTCTCCCCGGCTACTGAACAAGAGGTGGCTGCGCTTCTCCTTTCCCTATCGCCCCACCACTTGCCCGCTTGATCCTGTCCAATCTCACCTTATCAAATCTTTCTCCCCTTGTCCTTTGCCTTCCTTAACACACATCTACAACTATAGACAACTTCAGCTCATTGAATTGGTCTGGGTGCAGTGTCCCTATTGCACTCAGTGCTGCGATGTTAAACATTAGTTTTAGAGAAACTGCAATGATTACAATGCAGCACTAAGACAGCCACTAGAGGCGCTTCGGGGGATGTTACCGGACTTTTGGACCCTCGCACTTTGCGTAAGATCATCCAGTGTCAGCTATTTCCCAATAGGAAAGCACGGACGCCGTACATACGCTTTAGTGCCCCTTCTTCACATTATGTCCCTTGGCATTGGAGTCATGTAAGTAAAAAAAAAAAAGGTTTTTTTTTACCCTTTATTAAAGCCTGGGGAGGAGGGGAGAGGGGGGGGGGGGATGTAGAGAAAGCTATAGTACCAGGAATACAGCTTTGTATTACAGGAACTCTAGTAACACTTTAAGATGGTGGGGTGTTTGATTTCTCACCCAAAATTTTACTTATATAATAGAGAGAGCCGAGCATAATACAGAAATCATGATCACACAATAAAATAAGTGGGGCACAGCATAAAGATTTCTATAAACTACATAAAGCCGAGTTACAATAAAGAGATAACCATACCACAAACAGAGCGGATACAAAAATAAAGATACAATGCACAGAGCTTGGCACAAGACAAAAATACCTATACAATACACAGAGCTGGGTAAACTACAGATTTACCATACAACAGGTAGAGCAGAGTAAAATACAGAGAAATAACACACTGAACTGGGCACAATAAGCAGATATAATAACTATCCCACACAGCCAGGATCACTGTGATGGATTACACAGAACTGCTATACAGAGAAGCCCACACTATACTGTGTGTAGAATTCCCACACATTAATATCAGTAAAATGCTTTAGCTTTCTATTAAATATTACACAAGGTTAAAGAAGCAGGATACTGATACGGACGCCTTATTACATTTGAAACTGGCTATATCATTAATCTGCAGTGGTAATATGGAGCCAATAAGTAGCTGAACTGGTTAGCAGTATCAACAATCATTACAGATTAAAACAGACTGAAATCAGAATCAGATCAGTCCTCGGAGTCACAGCCCCAGTCCTGCAGTTTGAAGCGTCACAACTTTTCAACTAGCCAGACAGAGTGTGTCTCAGCTGTAGAGTGACTGGGCACTTAAGTATTGGTTGAGATACTCAAGGTAATAGCCAAAAGGCAGCTTTATTGAAGCAAATAAACCTCCAATAAAGCTTTATTTAGGGTTGTGAGGCAAGTACATTGAAAAACGTACATTGTTCTTTTTCTTTCTCATGCCATTTTGTAAACGAAAACCTACTGATTGGTTAAGAGCGTCAGCTGAAATTCTCAGCCAATCAGCAGCACTCCTGTCCAAGGCGTCCTCTTTCAAGAATCTGAGCAATGTGCAGGGACAGGGTCAGAGGCAAACAGCACTGGATACTCAACTTTTGGGTTAAGCCGTTTGTAAGCGGTTTAAACCATATAAGGAAGCAGGCGCCTCCTGACACCAAAACAAGTTTATTTCAATGAAGTGGCAGGAATGTTGGTTCATATGGCAACTGCTTCACTTGCACTACTTTATATGAAAAAAGCTCATACCCAAATATCATTCAAAACCAGCAGGCCACATTTTCAATAAACCCCATACTCCATCATTGTATATTAGTGAGCAGTAAACATTAAGCTCTGTAACATGAAGGTTAACTTGGAGCAGACCAGAGCAGCTACCAGATCGCTTGCAGTAGGTCCCCTGTGTTTACAGATACTAAGCAACACAAACTGAAAACAAAAGCTCAACAACTAAAGACAATTCAACAAAGAACACAAATCCACATGAAAAATAATTACCATCAACTTAAATAATAAAAACACACACACACATACTACATGCAGTCAACACAGCCCTGGTGAGTGTACCATGGAGGCATGCAGTGGGCCAGTTTGTTACTATAGGACTGGAACCTTTAACCTCTGTATTTATACTGATACAATATGAATGCAAGAACTGAGGCAAAAAATGTATCCCATTTTAAAGATCAACTTTATGTGTCTCAGTGTTACCATTCTGATGTAATTTGCAAAATAAATAATATATATATATATATATATATATATATATATATATATATATATATATATATATATATATATATATATATATAAAAAAAAATCCCAGTTTAGTGAACACTATAAACACCCAGGGCTCTAGGCAGGTGACCCAATCTTAAATTACTGCGTGTAGGGACATGTCTCTTGGACAAGCAGTTTGACTTAAATTTCCACACTCCTACAGCTAAATAGAAATAAATGAACTTTGCCTGACAAGTGGCAGGGAAATAAATCATTTAGTAACATGCACACATATAGCGAACATGCGACCTTTGCATTCTCTATTGCAATAAATATATGAGCCGTGTCACATTTAAAAACAAAACATTTACAGGGCAAACTATGAAACACCTAACACTGAGACAAAGTGATAAAGTTTGTCGTTGGCAAAAAGACCTGTTTTACTTAAATTATTCTTTCACCTTCACGGTTTAGGTTATTGCCAGAGTTCTGCTTGAAACATCTCTACAAAGCAGTGTTAGCCCAGAGGTTAGAAAATATCATCAGATATCTGGCAGCCATGGTTTGAACAAATTATACTAACAAAGCTCAGCTTTCTTCTCCAATGTCAGCTTGGCTTTTAAAGCCTACATACAAGTTACACTAAAGTAGTCCAGAGTCGTTACTATTCCCACAATGAATGTGTATGTTATAGGACAAGACGTCCACTGCCCCTGGTTTCTTGTGTATATATTACAGGAGGACTAGACACGTTGGCTTTTTTCTTCTGGAGTCCTCCACTGTTGCAGAGTCCAGGGGCAGAAGCCCGTTTTTCTCCAGAACATCAGATCTTCAAGCTACGTATGCGAATGGCCACTGACTGACCATACAAAGCACTCATCAACAAAGTACCAAACTCTCTATATCCCCATAAACAGAATGCCAGGTTTACAGTGACAAGTGTGAAAATCCCTGGAACTATTTTTTATAGGGCCGGGCAAGTGTGCCTTTCTGTCTCGGAGACTGCATTCTCTGGTCCAGTTTGTTTTTTATTCATTGGAAATAGTTTCATGGTCAGCTGACTCCTATTATTTGACTCACCCTGTCCAGAAGTCATTGAGTGGTCTATTCCAAGGGAAAAAAATTTTTAAAAAATTTGGGGCAGTGGGGAATATTATGCAGAATTTGGATATATGGCCTTTTTATTGTATCCAAAGTGATTTTATGTATTTATCTCAATTTTATGTACACATTTTGTATTGCTGAGGTTTTTTTCCCCCCATCAACTGTTATATTAGGTTTTCATAAATTGTGTAGTGGATCTATTTTGTTATATAATATTTAATATTCTGTTAACTTATGTTTTATATTTTAATTTTTATATATATTTTTATCACTGCTGCTCTTGCACAGTCTTTGCTAAGTTTTATTTTTTGCCTTTGATACGGTTTGTGGAAAACACACCTGTTTCCATTAAAGGGTAGTTGTGGTCAGCAGATGTGTGTTTTGTGGATTGAGCACACGGTTATTTGTTGTTATAGATATGACAGGAGGATGCTAATGCTTTCCCAGCCAGAGGAGTATTAGGCTGCAGGGAGAACTTGGCCTGTTTTTTGGTTGAAATAAATATTTATGTGAAACCTAGACTGCCCCTTTAACATTAGGTTTTCCGTTCAGTGCCAGATGGGATAGCAACAATTTTCACATTGTTTAAGTGCAGTTTTGTCCCTCTCCTGACATTCAAAATATTGAATAAGTGTGTTCCTCTATGGCTTTAAACATATCATAGATGCAATTAATGAATTGTGAGATGGTTACCCAAGAAAGCGCTGCAGAGAATTATATAACAAGCGTCAGATTATCTAAACTTCTCTCTCCTTGGCACCATGTATCCCTGCAACATCACAGGATTGTCCACATACCTAACTGCATAGCAATGAGATGCTATGGGCATTTATTGCTGATCATGCCCAATTACCATCAGACATCACTAACAATCTGGTGGCAAAATCTACTTACAGTTCTGTCCTTTACATTATACCATAAATCAACACTTACAGGAGACAACACAGCTCCTACCATGCCAACTATATGACATTATTTCACTGAAATCAAAACGCAACCACAACTTTTTCACAACAGTTTCATCCTTTTGAAAAGTCACAAAACAGTGCGATACTTCAGGTCAGTGTCTCCAAACACATGGAATGGGTGCCACCATATGTCTATTAGTTTACCTGTCATAATACACACAATAAGGCTAATATAGATGGATGGGGAACAGTATCTATACATTATGAAGGGTGAGCCCAGTTCTCTGTTGAGTTAGCAGACTAACCGAAGCTGCTCTCAGCCTTTGCTTTTCATTATTCTCATTCCAGGGCCTTCACCTAGTACTTGGCTAACAGATCCCTGAGCTCCAGATGTTAACTCCACACATATAGGAAGAGCAGAGCAGTGACTCAGTGTAGCACGTTATAGAGGGTCTGCATCAGCATGTCTTGCATTCAGATAATGATAATGCTATTTAAACTTCAGCTACTTATCAGGTAGAGAGATCTCATATGTTTAAGTCACACACACGCGTCCAGTAGCAGTCCTAAAAATGTCTATCTTGGCAAGTGTCAAATTCATGGTATCTTAGCTTTGCAACAAAGGAAATGGGGCAGAGGGTTCAGACATAATGGTTATTGCTTACCAATCAATGGGATGTATGTAGAGAGCGCCTGCAATTAGTTCAATTCTAAAATATTTCAGTTTTAAAAATAAAACTGTATACCGTAGGTATGATGTAGCTTATTCAATAAACAAGCATTTTTGGTAAGTTCTAGAAGAAAAAAATATAAGTTGGAATATTTTTTAATTCTCCTATTTTCGTCTTAAATCTGAAATTTTGAAAAAGGGGAAAGGAATATCCCGTGACATATATGCATATAGAAATAAGTCAATACATTGTTAAATGCAGATCTACATACACCAGTCAAGCTATAAGACTTGCTTTTCTTCCAAAGAAATCTCTGCTGCAAGGGATTCTGGGTGGGCATATGCAATAAGTTCAACAAATAATACCCTTTTGCCTCATTGTTCCATTCTAAACATGGATTCCTTGGAGTTTGCGTTTGCAGTATACAACTGTGTTGAAAAAAACTCAGGAAAAGATGCAAAGCCAGTGAACCACTCACTTGGAAGTTGTTTTCGATCGCTTTTTTCCCCCACCATAACTTTCTTGCTTGTGCTCCACAAGTGACGGCAAGCCTCAGTAGCAAACCAGTAACCAATCTCATGCTGACGAGTTGCATTAAAGACAAAACAGCTGTCCATGAGTGGTACACAAGCTTTGTATCTCTTCCTGAGCGGTGTTTCAAATACTCGCTTGTCACTACATAAAAATAGGACCAAGTTGGACGTAACATTTAGAAAAAATCAAATTCTGCCTTGCTGAGAGATAAGATCTGTCTCATGTCGAGGGACTGACATTTGCAAATCCATATACAAACTTAATTTTACCAAAGATTAATTAAAATTTAGCTTTTATTAAAAAAAAAAAAAAAAATCAAAAACAGCAGAGTCGTGTCATGGGCGGCTAAACATCCATGGTGTGTCTACATTCACCACACTGATAAGTTATATTCATTTTGACTACTTACATACACTATGACTGTTTGACTTATTTCTACGACTTAATTTATTCTCTTAAAATTATCTCTTTTAAAAATTTGTAATGCTGAGAGCCTTTTATTAGCACCTACGTTGTACACAAGTGCTATGCAGATGATAGGTGCCCTCTCGAAGGCACAGTACCTATAGTTCTAGTCTAGCACTGTTTAGTAGATAGGTGACCTTTAGAGGCACAGGATTTTGAAGCTTCTTTCGGTGCCAATGAAGGCACAGTGTTCAGCTAATTAGTGTTTGGATGGGTAGCCACCTAACTTTACTATCTTTGATATGACCCGGAGTGGTTGTCCGTGATTAATTTTTGACTATATAACCCCATTTTTCTTCACTTTCAATGTTTATTATATTTACTTTTTTTAGTTCCGACTTACTGCTTTGGTACTTAAGGAGTTTCTCTTTTCTTCTTCCATGACTACTATGTAACAGGGAGGGTAATCACATTTTACATTGATGCAATTTGATAAGCCACTCAAGTCTATAAACTAATCATCCTAGCTGTTACTATTTGATATATACTTACCTTTTGAGTCTATACACTTCTTGTTCTAGTTATAAATAAAATTTTCTGTTTTGGAAGGTTTGTTTTTTGAATCTGATTAACAAAAACAACATTTTTAATTGATGCAATCTCTTTGTTACAATTATATTTTTTTTCTTCAGTTTTGTTATTTTGTAACTCTTTGGTGCTATCCCTCACCTTTTCTGTTAATTTTCCAAAAGACAAACTTTAGTCACATATTTTTTGTATTAATTATATATTTTTCACAATTCATGTTTAAACTTACAATGCCCCAGAGACATAACAATCTAGCACGACAGTTCGAGAACACATAACGTAAAGCCAGCAGCAAGCCATTTAGGGCATTAGTGGCTAATCTTTGCCACTGTCTTCTACCACCTTTCACACCAAACAAGCTATTGGGCTGGGTGTTTGTGAATGGGAAGGTAGGACATAACAGCTAGAGGACCAAATGTTAGCAATTAGCAAACTGTAAGAGGGGAACTCACCTATTGCCAAAGTGACAAAGGCCACCTGGATGAGCAGGGACAGCCAGCTGAGTATATAGATAAACCACATCTTCCTGCTGGATGAGACACTAACACAGGGGACCCTCACTACCCTAGTGTTCACTCCTTATTTGCCCCTATCTACCCTGACAGTGAGCCACCCCTTAACTTCCTCGCTCTACCCTGGCAGTGACCCCTTTAACTACCACTCTCTACCCTGGCAGTGTCACCCCCTTATCTGCCCCTCTCTACCCTGGCAGGGAGTGACCCCTTATCTGCCCCTCTCTACCCTGGCAGTGACCCCTTTAACTACCACTCTCTACCCTGGCAGTGTCACCCCCTTATCTGCCCCTCTCTACCCTGGCAGGGAGTGACCCCTTATCTGCCCCTCTCTACCCTGGCAGTGACCCCTTTAACTACCACTCTCTACCCTGGCAGTGTCACCCCCTTATCTGCCCCTCTCTACCCTGGCAGGGAGTGACCCCTTATCTGCCCCTCTCTACCCTGGCAGTGACCCCTTTAACTACCACTCTCTACCCTGGCAGTGTCACCCCCTTATCTGCCCCTCTCTACCCTGGCAGGGAGTGACCCCTTATCTGCCCCTCTCTACCCTGGCTGCCCCTCTCTACCCTGGCAGTGTCACCCCCTTATCTGCCCCTCTCTACCCTGGCAGTGTCACCCCCTTATCTGCCCCTCTGTACCCTGGCAGTGAGCCTGCCCCTATCCTCGTTATTTGCCCCTCTCTGTCACCCCCTATTGCCCCCTCCCCCCTGCCTTGTGAAGCTTGTTAACCCTATGTGTGCCTCCCCCAGCCTTACCGAGCTATCAGCATTGCCTCACTCCTTGTCACCCGCCCTGCACCCACCCCAGCTCTACCCCTCCAACTGGACACCTAACCATAGAGCCTCCGCTAACCATAGAGTTCAGACCTACAACAACTTCCTGTAAGCGGGAAACCATAGAGCCCAGGGCTCTCCCAGGAATCATAGAGACGGCGTGCGAAGCTCCGGCGGCCATGTTTGATTTGGGCAAAGTTTTGCAGCATTCCAATAGTCAGCATTGCAGTAACTGTCTGAGTTTCCTAATGGCCACAGCTCATGGCATGGCAAATGTAGAAAGTATAAATAGTGTATAAATAGTGTTATATTCAGTACTGTATCATTTATTTATTTATTATTACACACAATATTGTGAGAGTGGCAGGCATGCCCCCCAACATGTGACATGGACTAAGAGGGACACTTTATAAGTTTCACTAATGCAACTAAAATGGAACTTAGAACACACACTGGGTTACAAACATGTTTATTGTAGTTTCAAGGGAAACGCCAAACTCCAATAAAACTTGAATGCGTTTAATATGTTTTGACTTCATTAATGTGCTGTATTATTTATATTAAATATTTGTGCATGCTCAAATCTTTTTAATAAAAATAAATGTTTTGCTGAATGCTGAACCATAAGCCTACCTCAATCCAAGTTGCAATTCTTCCAAATTGGGGCCGATTGGTGGATTGTCAGAATTTTGTAACTCTGATGCCCCATATTGATATATATCACAAGAAAATGACACAGACAGTGGCCAAATACATTTGTTTGCTTCGTGATTCAGTGTTCCATCCGTGGTGCGAAAAAAGAGAGATGATTAATGGATAGGGAACAGCCCTTAAATTAAATAAATAAAAAGAAAAACGACGGATCAACCGAATGAAATGCATAGCAAACCGATTGCTCAAAAGTAACCGAATGCTCAAATTGTGAATAACTGACTGAATGTGAACCCAATTTTAATGGTAAAATATGACGAAAACTAACATAATTAAAAGGGAGCGAAAATAAATACAACCAATATACAACTCCCACGATGCTATGCCAGCTGAAGATCTACCATTTATCCATCCTTGCAGAGTTATATTTGTAAGCAATGTTTGTGCGTTTGAATGTAAGTATGTTCTTGTATAAAGTATATGTGTGCATGTATAGGTGTAATTGTATATACTGTTGCCATTGGAATGCAGTGATGTGCTTGTGTGTAGTGTTTGTGTTTGCATGCAGGGGTGTGTTTGTATGTAGTGACTTTCTCCTGTCCGCTTCTTGCACCCTTACTGCTAACTCGCGCTTGCAGTACTTCTCGCGGGCGGCTCCCTTCTTTTGGAACAGCCGGCCTACCCCCATCAGACTCTCCCCTAGTCTTCAATTATTTAAGAAGTCCCTGAAAACACATCTGTTCAAAAATGCTTATGGACGTCCAGAGTAACTTATCTATAGTTACCCAAGTCTGTCTCTTGCTCTCCTAAAGAGCCACACTCCACTCTCACCTCTCACCTCTCACCTCTCACCTCAAGCTCTGCTACTTTTCCACCTTGTTTGGTGGCTGTCACCCTTGCTGCCCTGTTGTGTATTTGTACCCCACCTCCTCTAGACTGTAAGCTCGTTTGGGCAGGGCTCTCATCCACCTATTGTTCCTGTGTCACTGTGTAATTGTCTAATTTATTGTAAATTTCCCCACCTTTCATAATATTGTAAATTAGTTGGCACTATGTAAATACCAATAATAATATCCTGGCATGTCTCCTATCTGACCTGCACACGATCATTACACTAACCTACCATGTCTTGGCATTTAATTTGGGCAGAGTAGGCATCTGCTGTGGAAGAGGCATGTTCCTACTCTCTTATTAAAAAGTCCCCCAAAGCAGCTGTACTCACCTTTCCTGGGGAGGGTTATAAGGCTACCACCGGGAGCCGCCTCACCCTTGCATTGACTCTGTCCACACCAAGCATTAAGCAGTTTTTCGTTGAAATTAAGCTGCTTTTCTTTGAAATACCATTTGGGTAACCCTGACTGACCTGGTCTCCACAGGGGTCTTCTGTGGACAGTTTAGTTACCAGATTCGAGAATGCTGAATGTCTATAAGATTGCTCCAGATGTGGTGACTCTAGACACCAGTAGGATTCTGAAAGGCAGGAGAGAGAATCAGTGTTAACCACTATGTCCCCGATATGTTATATTGAAAGACATGGAATATTATTATTGAATCGACATACTCTTCTTTTTTCCAATACGAGTCCATGTCAGTTGTCAGCCTTGTTACTGTTTCATGTGTAGCAATAAAGACACTGCCAATTGTTCACGAAAGGAACTGTTAGAGAAGTCCCTAAAACATGGAGATCTGAGGTTAAATCAGAAGTAGGAAGTAAAAGGCCATTAGCATAAGGTAAGCAAATAATGTTATAAAACTATGCCTAATAACCCTAAAACCATGACCAGGTGACAGAAATGATGTTTTGGAGACATTTTAAGAACCTCTTCTCCACTGCATTTGATTACAAAAGTAATAATATTACTCTATTTGAAAGATTGGCTTTTTGTTTTACCATCAGGTTATCAGAAAGGCACCTGCGTAATAATTTACCACTCTTCAAAAATGTTGAAACACCACCTTTTTTCGAAGAAGTGGAGCGATTATTTTTTAAATGGGGACCGACACTCTATCATTGTAAAGATATCTCTGGAGTAAACTCTTTAATTTGAAAATCACGCAATAAATTATTTCTTTTGAAAATAATAATAATAAAAAATATATATAAAAAAAATTAGCATTAATCTATTTACATAGCTAATAAAATGTTTGAGAGTTTTTATTTCAGGAAGCTTGGCTTGACTTATGCCCTAGGCTCTATTCCTCAGATTATCATTTTATTCTAGGTCCTTCCTACGTACTCTACATTGTTCTTCAGGTTCTGACGTTTGCCCTGAAGCCTCAAAGATATAAATTTCAATGCATTATTGCAAAGTAGCAGTTTGGACAGATATTTGGAGAGTCACTGTTCTGATTTTAGCAGAGATGCACAGATTTTTTTTAATCAGGGATCTCCAGTCACATGTTCTCTCAGAGCAAGAACGTGTTATGGCACTTTAAGTTTTGATGAATAAAAAGGTAGGTTGTTACATACCTCCTATCATATCCTGTTCTGCGGATATGTCTGGCAATGGCTTCTGGTATCCAGTACTCTTTTTTTACAATTCTTGTTTAGTTTTTCTGGTTTTCTATTCTGTCTGGCTTTCTTTGTGCTGGGTTTTCTGGGTTCATTCCTTTATTCCGTTCCTGGAGTTCCGAGTCTCCTGGATTCCTTTAAATGTTTGTTTTTTGTTGCCACACCCATTCCTTTGCCATTAATCCTTTTTTTTTCAGTCTGGTCCTGCAGGCAGTGGTTTCATGTCCTCTGCTCCTTTCTTTGCAGGTATGTGCTGTGTGTGTTTTCTTGTTGTTTATTTAGTCATGCATATCTAGGCAGTTAGGACCCACCGTAATTGGAGTACTTTGGCACAGTGGTGGGCTGCATACATCTTGGCCATTTATGTATGTCTTGTATATCCAATGTTTTACCTATATAGTACTTAGTTATGTCTCTTGTTTTGACTTGTATTTCTTGTCTTGTTTTATTTTGTCTTGTATTCCCAGTTAATGTACAGTCCTGTCCTGTCCTGTTCATGTTTCCCTCATGTCTTGTGTACATGTTCTGGGTTCTGCTTTCTGCCCTACTCTGGTTCAGGGTTCTTCTAGTCTTGTCTTGTTTTCTCGTTAGGTGCCTGTTCTAGTCTTGCCTTGTTTCTAGTACATATCTTCTGCAGAGCCTCCCTACCCATATCCTGGGAGGCCTGCATATTTTCATCTGCTCCTGGGATCAGCAGAAGCTGCATCAGGGCCCTGGTATGTGGCCGCACAAACGCTGGTGCTCAAAACCAGGGGGCGTGTGGTTACCCTGCGCCAGGCCCTGATAGTCCATTTCCACGCTGAGACTCCCATCATCTTCAGGCACTCAGGGGTCCGTACCGCGACCTGTGACACCTCCAACATTTCAAATGGACAGAGGGACGCTTTAATTTAAGGGGTGTGAGTGCAGTTGTGGACAGGGGCAGGGCTGTTCTGAGATGTTTGAAGTTACTGACTAATAACAATTTATTCAACTAAAATGTAATTTGGAAGAATAACAATTTATCTTATTTACACAGTCTGATTTCTAAACACATTTTTTGTAGATAGACAGAGGGATTTGGAATGATGTTGTTGCTCTCACACTCGTGTTATTACATTTATATTTTTTTTGACAATCCAGATTATTATTTTTTATTCTTTATTTTTGTAGTGCATAAAAAGGCATACAGGCTTTAAATGACATTTTGTCATGTGAAAGACAACAATACAAGTCAAAACAAGGAGGCACAAAACATCATCAAGAAATACTGCACTGTCTGTTGTTGAGAAGAGCTAGCTAACGCCATGCATAGATAAACAATATAAGAAAATAGAAATAATCATGTATGGGTAAATTTGACTTCTGAGGAAGAAATCATGGATAATAATTGTGATCAAAAAATTCAAAGTGTAGCGCTCTAAATACGAAGGATTACCTTAACAGTAGTTATGGTGGTTTTATATAGGGTTACAATGTCTACCACATAGTGCAGCTTATAGATAAAAAGAGTGGTATAATAAAATGGAGTTTATAAATAAAACACTCACAAACAGGGAGCTATAAAACCTAGCTCCAAGGTGGATAGCTTCTGGGTCCGTTTACGCTACCCACACCTATGTGGAATGTATGTTCCGTCCTGAGGGAAAGTATATAGACACACAATAGGGTAGTACAGTGAGGTGAAGGAATACTTAAAATAAGTGCCAATTGGGTACTTACAGACACAGAGCCCCTGTGGCTCTGTAGTAGCGTGTTGTGTAGGTATAGGGCTACACTCCCCCTTTAAGCAGGTAAAAGCCAGGAACCAAATAAAAGCATGCATACATTTATTAAATCATATTAAAAATACACAAATAAAATAAAGAACAGTGTCCATAAAAATACCGGTACGCGTTTCACCACTAGATGTGGCTTCCTCAGCCGGATCAGTGTTATGGGAGTCCTTGGTTCCTAGCTTCTGTTTATGTACCCTCCTGATTGGGTAACCTCCCACATCTGTGTGTGTTACGTGGTTACCATATGAGGTAGTACGTAACCTATCTTCATAATGGTAAATCAAACAGCCCGGCAGACACTCTCACCTGGAGTGCCGTGGGGCTTAAATTCTCCTGAGCTGTTACTTTACTGCGTTCCTAGCCTCGCTCCCGTAAAGTGACGTCAGCAGGATTCTCGGCTTGTGCAGTCTGACGATTACTGTTCATTCTGGATTTCTGTCCATATACTTGTAGCCATTTCTTCTGGTATTCATAATGCAAGATGTTATTAATCAGATTTTCAGTGTGATCTAACAGATAGACCCTCAAGGGTCCCTCCACAAATGAGCATTAGGAAATAGGAGGGGATATACAACATAAAAAGAAAATCAATTATACACGCCTTTACAAAATTCTGCTTATATCTACAATAGTCTATTTAATTGATATTCATATTTAAGTGATTAGTCACCAGGCGTACACACGACCCATGGGGCCCCAGTGCGAAAATGTATCCGTGGGCCCCCCCCCACCGCGCTTACTCTGCGCGGGCCGGGGGCCGGAACACATGGCGGCATGCACCTGGTCGCAGGGGTCGCAGGGCTGTGACGCCACTGCATGTAGATACACACACACACACTTAAAGGACCACTACAAACACCCAGATCACATCAGCTCAATGAAGTGGTCTGGGTGCCAGGTCCCTCTAGTTTTAACCCTGCAGCTGAAAACATAGCAGTTTCAGAGAAACTGCTATGTTTCACTGAGGGTTAATCCAGCCTCTAGTGACTGTCTCATTGACACCCGCTATAGGCGCTTCCGCGATTCTCACTGAAAATCACAGTGAGAAGACGCTGGACGTCCATAGGAGCGGTTTGAATGCGTGCGCGGCTGTTGCCGCATTTGGAGCTGAGAGGTGGAGGGATCTCCAGCGCAAAAGGAGTCCACAGGACTGGTGAAAGGTAAGTGCTGAAGGGGTTTTAAACACACACACTCTCATGAACAGATGCATACACACTAGCTAACAGCAGAGGCGGCTCTCTAATTAGGCGATTTAGGCGGCCGCCTAAGGCCTCGCGCTGATGGGGGCCTCGCGGCCGCCTAAATCGCCTTAGGGCAGTGTGATAGATCGGGTCCTCGGTCAGAGACCGAGGACCCGACACAGGAGGGGGCCCGGCGGCTTGCACTTTATGCCGCCGGGTGCGAGGCCCCTCCTCTGCCTGCCCGGGAGAGAACCAGCCTGTCTGCAGCTCCGCTGAGCGCAGAGCTGCAGACTGACAGGGTCTCTCGATCTCACCCAATCAGATCGTTGCCGCGGGTTACCACGGCAACGCTCTGACTGGCTGAGATCGCGAGACTAAACTTCCCACGTGGTCTGCAGCTCTGCACCCGGCGGAGCTGCAGACCGTAAAGTGAGCCCACCGGACCACCAGGGCTACAGCCTGGCCGTCCACTGGACCACCAAGGAAGAATTTAATCATAAGGTATTTATGCCCTGCCCTGCCACCCTCTGCCCAGCCACCCTCTGCCACTGCCCCAGCCACCCTCTGCCACTGCCCCAGCCACCCTCTGCCACTGCCCCAGCCACCCACTGCCCAGCCACCCTCTGCCACTGCCCAGCCACCCTCTGCCCCAGCCTCCTACTATCCTGTCACTGTCCTTCTACCACCCCTGGCCCTGTCATAGCCCCCCCTACCGCCCCAGCCACCCTCTGCCCTCTTACCACCCCCTGGCCCAGCCACCTTCTGCCCTCTTACCACCCCCTGCCCCAGCCACCCTACCACCCTCTGCCCCAGCAACCCTCCTACCATCCTATGCCCCCTACCATCCCCTGCCCTGTCACAGTCACCCTACCACCCTCTGCTCCCTACTACCCGTACCCTGTCATTGCCCTCCTACCACCCCCTGCCCCAGCCACCCTACAGCCCTCTGCCCCAGCCACTCTCTGCCCTCCTACCTCCCCACTACCCTGTCACTGTCCTCCTACCACCCTCTGCCCCAGCCACCCTCTGCCCTCCTACCACCCCACTACCCTGCCACCCTCTTCCCCCTATCATCCCCTGCCACAGCCACTCTACCACCTTCTGCTCCCTACTACCCGTACCCTGTCACTGCCCTCCTGCCACCCCCTGCCCTGTCATAACCCCCCTGCCCCAGGGGAACCCTACCATCCTCTGCCCTCCTACTGTCCTCCTACCACCCCCACTACCCTGTCACAACCCCCCTACCACCACCTGCCCCACCACCGCCTGCTCCAGCCCCCCCACTACCCCTTGTCCTGTCACAGTCTCCCACCACCTCCTACCCTGTCACAGTCCCCCACCACCTCCTACCCTGTCAAAGCCCCCTACCGGCCCCCACCCTCTCACAGCTCCCCTACCCTGTCACCCCACACCCATCCAATCACAGCCTTCCCACACACACACGCTGTCACAGCCTTCCACCGCACACCTTGTCATTCCCCACCCATACCCTATCATTACCACACACACTGACACCCCCTTCACATACACTATCACCATTCCCAAACACTTTCAGACCCCACACACAGTCGCCCCCTAAACCCGACCAAACTTACATAACCCCTCCTAATCCTGTCACTCTCACCCACTGCAACCATACCAAACTCCTTGCTTTGCCACACCTACCATATTGCATTAACCCCCCCATTAACCCTGTCAGACTCACCTTCTCTTGCACTGTCACACTCACCCCCCAACCCTGTCACTCATCCTCTATCAGTCTGTCCCACTCACCCCCTTCACCCTGCCACACTCACCCTATTACATAAACCCTTACAATCCTGTACTCCAGCTGTGCAACACTCACCCCAAACCCTGTCACACATAGGTAGACAATGTCAGATACAGTCATATATACATACACCGCCACTTATGTATATACGACTGCAAGGGTAACCATACCCCTCAGTCATGTATAAACAATTGGCATAATTGCTAATTACATTTGTTTATTGCAAATTAAGTTAGTTTGCATATTATGCCATAACTACAGTCAGAGAGATCACAATGCAGCGGCACAGGGAGCCGCCACACTGCAAGCCTCTGAACGATGAATACAGAGACTAGCTCTCTGTATCCAGCACTGCAAGCCTGCCCTTCAATACAACTACAGCACCTTATACACACAATGCAACCCCTATTTTTAACTTTAGGTGTTAGTGGGGGCCTCATGCTTGAGTTTCGCCTAAGGCCTCACAAAGTCTAGAGCCGCCACTGGCTAACAGACACACACATTTACTGACAGAGACACACTCAGTGACCGTAATACATACACACTCACTGACAGACACACATACACACTCACTTACAAAACATACACTCTCACTGACAAACACACACTCACTAACAGACACCAAACAGACTCACTAACAGACACTCAGTAACAGACACACACAGTAACACACTCACTGACACACACACACACTCACTGACACACACACTGACACTCACTAGCCGACACACACTCAATAACAGACACACACAAACTAACACAGTAACACACACACTGACACAAAAACTTACACTAACACACACACTCTAATACTAACACACATACACACACTAATACTAACACACACACTCTAATGTTAACACACATACACACACACTCCAATACTAACACACATACACGTTTTTTTTTTTAAAAATGTGATCCCCCAGCCTCCCTACCTTTGGGAGTGCTGAGGGGATTCCCTGGAGTCCAGTGGTGCTGCTGGGCGGCCGGTCACTGGGCAGGCTGGTGGGTGAGCGAGGGAGCATTCTCCCCTGAGCGCTCTCTGCCCAGCTCCTTCACGCGCCGCTTACTGATGCCGGAGCCGGAATGACGTCATATTCTGGCTCTGGCATCAGTGCGGTGTGCGCGAGGGAGCTGGGCAGAGAGCGCTCAGGGGAGAGTGCTCCCTCGTGCACCCACCAGCCCGTCCGGTGACACCAGGGCCAGCCTCGGGGGGCCCTGAGGTGGCCAGCTCCTGCGCACCCCAGGAGAAGAGGCTGGTCACACTGGCATACATACCTGGTCGCAGGGGCCTGCGACCGCGGTATGTATGCCACTGTTAGTTACCCATAGTGATAAGCTTTAGTGGGAATAAGAGACCTCTAATAGTGATTAGTATATTTCATTCAGGTGATTATTTTCCTCTATACATATAGATCTACAAATTGTGTAAAAATTAAGTATGAGTGATCCTTTCAAAAGGTACAGGACCATTATATCGTGTAGGAGGTAAAGGGAGTTTTCCAACTTGGCTGTAAAATTCTTTATCTCCTACTTTTCAATATATACTTCCTTAAATGAATTTAACAGTTAAAATTTGTATATAATACTATAAAAAGTATGTGTGGAAATATAAAAAATATATAAAAAATTTATAGAAAGGGGACTATATAAAAAGGGGGATTCTTTATAAAAATGGCATAGTTTGAAGTCCGAATTTAATCCATACGGCTTCCTTGTGTTCCAAACATAGCAGGCTTGCGTTCCAAAATGTCAGTGGACAGAATATAGCAAGAGCAAGGTGGAACGCAAGAACTGCGACCCAGCTACACGTTGGACGTGGATAAGTGGTGTGCGCGCAGCACGGAGGTTGGACCTACTTCCGGGTTTGCGCGCACATACCCGGAACTATAACTCAATAACAAGAGAATATCGGACAGTATATAACGGAGGACAATGAGTGTTCCCCATTTACAGCAACTGAAGAAGCCCCCACGAGGGGAGAAACGCGTTTTGCTATTTTGGAAAAAGGATCTATGAATTGTAAGGCCTTTTTAACCTATTTTACACATTGTTTTATATTATTGATTTTATATAATGAAGCTCATTTTGGAAAACCATTGGAGCAACTCTGTTACTGAGAGGGGTATCTACCTCACTACGTATTGAAGAGGGAATCTACCCTACTATACACAGAAGAGGGAATGGGACCCTACAAGATCCCACAACGCTTGAAGTTTGAGCCTAAACTTAAGGCTCTACGTTTGTGAGTGTTCTACCTTCACTTTCATTTAACAACATTTTTTCATTATAACGATATTGCACTATTATCTGTCCCTTTTTCCTCCACAGGAGCGTCATCTTGGGACATTGTCATTATCCATTGTATGTAAGATACTCCACCTTGTTTGTTTTATATTGTATATTTGTTGGTGAGGGCTAAGGGAACCCCACCAAGGTGTTGTAGTGTCTTATATTGTGAGATAACCACACTGGGATTCTGTTGTTTTTCATTTTGCACAGAATAAGAGGGAGGGGGGTTTAAATTAAGGTTTTGACTGGAGTTTTGGTTTAACTAATTGATTGGGAGCAATGGGAAAATGTATTCTTATCGTAATTATTTTTGTAGTATTGATGCTTGTGTTTATGTGTTTGCAGTGAATGTCCTGAAGTGTTCATGCCGATTGATTCTCAAGAGCTGTTCATTTTCATCTCCCCCTGGCACAATTTCTACTGAATATGTTGAAATGTCTCCTATGTGGTCACAACCCATACCGGTCGTAAATACAGACATACTTTCTTGTGAAGACATTGATCGTGTGCGCATTTATTTGGAAAGTCCTGCAAGTGTTGTTTAATATCACTGGCTCACGGAATAACCTTCGCTAAACATTGGAAGTGTTGCACGGAGCTTTTTGTGGTGAAAGTCCTAGTACCAAAGGGAGGACTGTGAACATATGTAACCTGCTACTGACATGCTGTCAGCCATTTTGCTGTTTGTCTGCCATCTTAGTGTATAATCAAAGAAGAAGATGAATACTTGAAGAATTATATGCTGATATAGTATAAGAAATGTGTATTTTAATGGTCAATTAAAACGCTTTTATTGAACCTGGTGATATTTGTTGCTACTTCCACAAGTAATATAACATAACTCTCTAATATCCAGCCCAAGTTAGCTATTCTCACCTTACTTACAGTTGCTGACTGGCTGCTGTGGCTGGTCGGCAGGTTGGCTATAACTGTGCCTGGCTGGCAGGCCTTTTTCTCCCCCAAAGAGAAGCGCTAGGAGCATCGATTGGCGGACGGTCCATCACAGCAGGGTTGAGAAAGAATGCACACACTGATAGTTTAGGTGTTCTAAGCATATCCTGGGATAATTGATGACTGACCAGGCAATGTACAAGTAAGTGCAGGATTAATTATAAATTACATTTGCAGGTCACTTTGTTTTGTACTACAATTGTTATTGGTTGGTGTTTGGCTTAGTATTATCATATTTGCCATGTTTCTTGGGCCATTCTCCCAACCACAATTTTACAGAATGGGTAGTATAGTAGGATTGCAGTCAGCTGTAGATTCTACCACCCAGCACCAAATCTTTAAACAAGGCCAAACAAAAAGCATCTGCTCTCCAACCAGACATCTATGAAGGGCTATGACAATACCATGTGCAATACCACTAGGGATGCAATGCAGGATATGTATCTACTGAGGAAAGAACATATAGCCAGAATCGGGTAGATTCCAAATAGACAAGCATATTAAAACTATAAAGACACAGAAGATTCTAGAACATACATTTTATTCACCAAAACATGGCATTTCAGATAAACTTTCAGAGCCATTCATATTAGACCATGAATAGTACTGTTGCTATCATGCCCTTATCAGGTTCCATGCAGAAGGATCCCATGGCTGGATTAGAAGTCGTATTCATCTCATGGTTTGTAGTCTTCCTGGCTGACCATCAGATTATAGTGAGTGACCCCTTTCCATAATCCCTCGACGTAGGATTCATAGCCAAACAAGGTGCGGACCTTGGCACGGTAAGGCACATCCATTTCTCCCTTTGTCACAGATGCCACCATACGTATTGAATGTCCACCTGGTACCTCCACATCTGTACTGGAGGAGAAGGTAGTCTGCAAGAGAAGTCATATGTTTGACACAAGTTTCGGACGAAACAAAACATTTAGTATGAGGCTACCTTTCTACATTTTAACATGCTGCTGCATATGCTGTTTTACATGTAAGTAATAAAGAATTCATTTTGCATTTTACTTGGCCTTGGTTTACACCACCTTGGAACTGAAGTGGAAGTTAAAGTAAAGACCTGGAAGTTGAGCTTCCTGATGAGGATTTTATGAAGGCATCTTTTACTGGATAATAGTGAGTTGCCAATTGGGACTTGCGTACTGAGTGGCAATTGTGTACAAACTACACTATGCTGTATTTCTTTTTTCCTTACTACCCATACACACTATATATTTTGCATTCAGAAGACAAGGTGAGAACTTCTGGGTAGCTTCATCTACTTAAGGGAATTGTTGTTTCTTTTAATAGTACAATTTATTCACTGCAGGATTTGCACTGTATATAGGCTTGTGTTTCAGTTTTGTATGTATCTTCATACATTTGAACATATACAGAAAAAGTATTGGCTAGATCCTGGATTTCATACAAGATATTCTAAGTCCAAGACCCATGAAGAATTTGAAAAATGTCAGGCCATTGTTGCATATTTATCTTAGAATTGCACAAGATATGAGAAGCTCTTCTAATGTCAGACTATATTGATGCCATTACAAGACCATGTCGTTTCATATCACAGGATTACATGGCTAACAACCTGCGGAAACATTTCTGGCTATGAAAGCTCTGACAAAAAGGGGGAGACATCAAAAAATAAAAACAAAAACACACCACATTGATTGCCAATACCATGGTGGAGAGGTATTACAGCTGTCTCCCATTAGGGAAGTCTCTTTCAGATCCAGTTATTACAAAGAACACTACATTTGGGCACTGAAACATTGCACATGCAGAGTTCTTGTTAATTGTGTGCTGGAACTAGTTGCACTCTGATCTTGACTGCTGAATGTAAATTCTATGCACAAAAACCACATCTGTCACCAGTGTGCTGTGCCGACAGATATAAAAATCTCCCCTTTGCAGTCAAAGCACCTGCAAGAAGAGCACCATTTCCTACTCCCTCACTACTATTCGCCCCCATACACAAAATACCTCTTAAAATCTTTGCACACATGCGCTCTGAGTGGCGAAAGAGTCCAATCACAGAAGAAGCCTGTTATTGGACCATGCAAGTGCCAGGAGATTCACCTGGTGCTGCGTAAAGGCAAGTGTACAACTTTTGTTACAGGGCAGTACCTATTAGTTATGTCACATAGTAAATTTGTAATGAAAAAATATATAAATATTTAATATTTATATTTTTATTCTCCCTGTTGAAGTAATCTTTTAATGATACCAGATTAGGGCCAACTACTAAACACAGCAAAGAGAATGAGCCTTTAATTTTGATTTGTCAGCTGTTTAGTATAAGATTTCCTAATTTGCCATTCTTAAGTGGAATTGAAATATTTAAGAATGAAAAATAAGGGAGCCATCAGCTAAACTGCTGAAAGATCAAAATTCTTTTTAAAAATGCCCTTTTCTTAATTTTGCCCCTTCGTTCAATTACAGGAGCCCCTAATATACTATCCCGATGAAAAAGAATAGATCAACATGTATTTTTGTAAAAAAATTAATTGGAACAAAACAAATTGCACATCTCCATTATGCACACACGCAAGAAGATAATAAAAAAATAATAATCAGGAGTGCAAGTTTCCATTAATTTGCAGACTTTTCAACTACTTAGAGCAGATATGGTGTTACATTTATTTATTTGAATCTCAAATTAAAGACTGCCCTCATTTACAATAGCGCTTGGATAAGGTATGTCCAATTGGTTATGATTGGTTTTGTGAAAATGTGGTTTATAGCAACCTTAAGCACTCTAGATGTTGTGGGCTAAATCTTCCCTCATTCTTTGCCAGCAATATGCGATATGTAGTCCACAACATCTGAAGTGCTGAAGATTACAGACCCCTGTATTAGAGCATTGGTGGCCACATTGCCATCTTTGGCAGAACGGTTAGTAAGCAAACACATTTGGGAATAATTGAAGGGAGATTTAGATCTTTGTAGAGGCTCGAACATCTCAAAGTTTACAGTTTAGGTAGTTTTGTAAAAAGTGTGAACTGTTATAAATTCAGAATTTAAACCTTTTTACCTGAGTTTCATTTGTCTTGGTGAAGGTCCAGGTATGAGTTGTGCTCATATTGATGGAAATCTTGGTCTCCATTTCCCCTATGAATGGGACTCCAGCTTTAAAGCCCATCTCTGCACCAATAGCCACTGTGAATCCATGTTCCTGGCTGAAGGTGCTGCTCTCAGTCATGGTCTTTGAGAACCTAAGAGAGCAAGAAGGCATATAACACAGGGCAGCAGATGATGCACGCTGCATATATTCCATAACATGGTTATACTCACGAGAAGGTGTGCTTTAATGGAGTGCTGCTCTTGTTCACATAGATCTGGGATTGCACCACCTCTGTGCCTTGCGATAGAATTTTCCCTGAAGCTGGCAGGAATTCAAAGCTTACAATGCTCTGGATGGTTTTATCAATTGTGAAGGAAAGGAGGGGGTAGACATTGTAACCCCAGCCCAGATTCTGTGCATTATTCAGATAGTTGGTATTATCAATGGTTGGGGCTGGCCCTTTATAGATGTTGCCATTCTTTGAATCCACACACCACAGGTCAAACTCTGGGGAGAAAGCCATGAAATGGGTGAGGATGCGCCAGCCTCCTTTTCCAATGGTTGTGCTGGAGCCAAGCCAGTTATCGTCTGGTTTGGTTGGAGGGCTTCTCATCACAAGCTTGTCATCACTTGTCACTGCGTACAGGATGCCTTTAGGGTCAAAGAAAAGGGCATCAAATGTATTCCAGCCACCAGTTCCTATTTTGGTGGCTTGGCCATAAAGCCAGGACACGTTTTCATTGCTTGGTGCTGGACCTTTGTAGAACTCCCCATTCTTGGTAACTGCATACAAAATGCCATTTGGATCAAAGAAGAGAAATTTAAACCCATCCCAGTTGGTTTTGCCCACTCTTTTAGCAGTAGAGAACCAGTCCAGGTTTGGATCTGAAGGCAAAGCTCCTGTGAAGAGCTCTATACCACGCACAGCAAACAGCACCCCTTCTGGGTTAAAGGCAATCTTATTGACATTATTCAGCTTCCCTACAATTTTAGATCTGGCATCAAACCCATCCAAGCGATCTTTAGGAGGTAATCCAACTCTGGCATTGTAGTCTTTCACGGCAAACAGGAGGGTATCTGGAAGTAAATAGAAAGGTTATAGCCACTATCAGATGTAATTCATAATACAACAGTATGAAAGTACAAACAAAATGTTATTTTTTTGCAATTAGTCAAGATATTGTATATCAGGAATAGGCAAGATTTGGCACTCTGGATGTCATGGAGTACATCTCCCAGAATGCTGGCAATATCTTGAGTGCCGAAGGTTGCCTACTCCTGTTCTAGGTTGAATTTAGAGTTTGATTCTTGAAGATCAGGTTTTTAGATGACATTCTTATTCTTAGATAAGGCCTCTTTATAAAGAGATCATCATCATATCAAGATTAACAAAATTGCATAGATTATTAGACTTAATTAAAGTCTAATTAAGAGGTCAGTGGTCCTGAAAACCGTCCACAAGGCACCCCAACCAGTCCAGGATTGTCAGGAGCTTACCTCAGTTTGGAGTCTGTAGCGCAGATATGTTGCTCACCCTTGCAAACACACACAGTCCAAGGTGACCAGATAATAAACCACCTGGACTGTGAATCTGTGCACGGTGGCTGTGCAAGATAAAGTTTCAAGTCGCAGTACAGGCAAGGACATAAACAGCATGATAGTTAAGGGGTAGCTGAAGTCAAGGGATGGCAGAGAAAACGATGTCAGAAGCCAGGGTCAATATAGAGTTGAGGATCAATAGACTGGAACGTAACACACACAACAGAATCAAAAGACTTGATAATGTTCCCAGGGTGAGGCAGTGCTTATATACCATGCTGATGTCTGATCAGGGTCACGTGAAGCACAGCAATAGTCAAAGTCCAGCCACCAGTGCTGCAAGCCAGGATGAACAGGACTGGAAAAGCTTAAAACAAACAAAACTGCCGTGGCTCAAAGGTAGATTGCAGGTCCAGGATCACAAAGTTCCCAGGTTCCCCTGTTGGGCACATCTGGGGCAACCACATCTGGCCGTCTGGCTGTCATGGTGAGAACCCTGGCAATACCCCTGCTTTAAGAATGCCCTCCGGGCGTGAACAGACTCACTTTTTTTTATAGCAGTACTCCTCTTCAGGTTCACTATCTGAATCAAGAAAGCCCTTGTAGTCAAAGTCCCCAGTGTGGAGTCCCTTTTCAGGGTGGGGCTCCTTAGTACCAGCTCCTTAGTACCAGCTTCTGGTACGGCTGGAGAACAGTCAAGGTCTATTAGGATCTGTGTACAAGTGGTAAGTACTTCTAGTAATTCAGCAGGAGCAGAGTTCGCGGCCAACAATGCCTTATCGAACATTTGTAGATCCTCTGTACGGACTATAGTGCCATTAGAAGCAAAGGCACAATCCGCAGGTAGATGTTTTTTGGGCTGGCAGGAAGTAGTGATTGCATTAGCTTTAACAGGAGTGTCTTCAGGAGGAGGTGCAGACCTCTTTGGAGCAGGAAATGGAGTGTTTTCTGCCCAAGCATGGGCAGGAATGATGGCTTCTATGAAGCTTTTTAGGCTGACATGCAGCGTACACAGGGCAAACAGTAGTAGCCAGCCGGAGAGCTGGAGGCCTAGGAGGACGAATAGGGCAAAGTGTGATGAAATGCCCTTTTTATCCATAGTAGAAACATAGGCCATGGCTTCTCCTCTGGTCTCTTTCCTTACGCGTCACTTTGCAGTGGACGAGTCCTATTTCCATAAGTTTCTTAGGGTCGAGAGGAACATAGGATACCACTAGAGTTTTCCTAGGAATTGGATCATAAGGAGGCAACACTGGGGTGTAGTGTTGGTACTGGGTCTCTCGGGTTCTAAGAATCTGGGATCCTCTGGTACGTGGAGCAGGCTTTGGCACAGTGGTCTTGCATTGCGAGTCCATAACAGTAGAGAAGGATTCCCAACTGTCAAGGACAGGACTTTTCATCTGGAACATCTGGTGAGCCCATTTTTTGATGCGTCCAGACAACAAGTTGATAGCCGGTCGGACCATGATATCTGTGGCATATGTCTGAGTCTTTAAAGAAAACAACACCTCGCAATCCACCTTGAAGGACTGGAAGGATGTGCGGCTGCCATCAAATCTCTCTGGCAAGACGATGAACGGCTCAGAATAAACAGGTTCCAGGGCTGGGCATACTGTGTCTTATTCGCTGCAACTCTGAAACAGTCTGGGTCAGGCTGGAAACCATTTACACATCTCTGCGGACTCCATATGGTCAAGTCTTTATGTCAGGATCTTACCTGAGTTGGGAGTCTGTAGCGCAGATATGTTGCTCACCCTTGTAAAAACACATAGTCCAAGGGAACCAGATAATAAACCACTTGGACTGTGAATCTGTACATGGGGGCTGTGCAGGATAAAGTTCCAAGTGGCAGTACAGGCAAGGACATAAACAGCAGGATAGTCAAGGGATAGCCAAAGTCAAAGGATGCCAGAGGTCAGGATCAATGAAGAATAGCCAAAGTCAAGGGATGCCAGAGGTCAGAGAAAATAATGTCAGAAGACAGGGTCAATATAGAGTTGAGGATCAATAGACTGGAACACAGGAACATAACACACACAACAGGATCAAAAGACTTATTTATTTATAAAATATTTTACCAGGAAAGATACATTGAGATTTCTCTTGTGTCCCGGGTCCACAAAACATTGCATTGATAAAGTTCACAGGCCGAGGCTGTGTTTATATACCCTGCTGATGTCTGATTAGGGTCAGATGAAGCACAGCGATAGTCAAAGTCTAGCCCCTAGTGCTGCAGACAACCTAGGATGAACAGTACTGGAAAAGCTAAAATGAAACAAAACTGGTGTGGCTCAAAGGTAGATTGCAGATCCAGGACCACAAAGTTCTCAGGTTCAAATTCCCAATTGGGCACTTCTTGGGTGACTATGTCTGGATGTCACAGAGAACCCCAACAAGGATTATCCAGTTATGTCTAATGTGTTTTTAATAAAATAAATTTAAAAATCTTTTCAATAAGGAAGCCTGGCTGCATTTATATTTTACAAGTGTGAAACAGGAACACAGATTTCTCTTCAAACACGAAGCTCCAAATATGGAGAGGATCCCTCCCTCCCTTACCACTCTCTTTCTCCCCCTCCCTCCCCCTATACACAAAACCCTCTCTGCCATTACTAGAAAGTTTTAGTGGCCGTCTCTTAGAGGTGATGTCAAGGATTACGTGGGAGCATGTAGAATTTGTGCTGTGTCCAAGGTTCCCCAGAAATCACCTCCTGGGTTGTTACGGCCACTTCCTATACCAGACGCTCCATGGATCCACCTGGCCATGAATTTCATTAATGATCTCCCAAGTTCTAATGGGTATAACACTATCCTTATGGTAGTAGACCGTTTCTCCAAGATGGCACATTTTATACCTCTCAAAATCTGCCATCTTCTCAGGATCAAATATTCTTACATGAAATCTTTAGACTGCATGGAATACCGAAAAACATAGTCTCTGACAGAGGTACCCAAATTATTTCTAGATTTTGGCGTGCTTACTGCAAACAGTTGGGCATAGAACTTTCTTTTTCCTCTTTATACCACCCTCAGACCAATGGGGTGGCAGAGAGAGCTAATCAAGCCTTGGAGTCTTATTTGCATTGCTTTATTAATGTCAATCAGGCTAACTGGTCAGAACTCCTGTCAATGGCTGAATTTGCTAGAAACAATGTAACCCACGAGTCCTCTACTCTCAGTCCTTTTTTTTTGTAAATAATGGTTAACACCCTACTGTATTACCCTCTGATTTTCCAGAAACTGACATTCCTGCTTTGGACATCTGTTTGGCCTCTATCCATGACACTTGGGCTTTGGTACAAGAAGCATTACAATCGGCCTCCAGATGTACTAAAGTTCAGGCAGACAAGCGGTGTGGTGCCAATCCTGTCTATCAAGTTGGGGACAGGGTCTGGCTTTCCACGCATCATATCAAGTTGAAAGTACCTTCCATGAAGCTGGCTCCTCACTTTACAGGTCCTTTGGAACATTAATCCTGTGTCATACTCTCTCACCCTTTTTGCACATTTGCAGATATCAAACACATTCCATGTGTTTTTGTTGAAACCGCTTACTTGCAACCTTGCAGTTCGTACCTCCTCCACCTCTGGTTGTTGAAGGCCAGGAGGCATACGAAGTCCATATTGACATCCATACTGGATTCCAGAGTGTCGAGGGGTGTTTTGTCTTATTTGGTGGATTGGAAAGGTTATAACCCTGAGGAACGTTCTTGGATTGCTGACGATAGAGTCCACGCTCCTCGTCTTGTCCGGTTGTTCCATAACCAGTTTCCTAACAAACCTGCTCTTTCTTTGAGTGGGGGGTACTGTCATGGCCCCCGGCTGTACTTGGAGGCACCTGATCGGTGCAACCACGCTGACCGGTCAGAGGACGTACCTGTGCAGCCAATAGTCGGGAGCTGAAATGGTCAGAGCCAACCACGATCACGATGTCGACGCACACGCACGTTCTGGGGTCAGAGGCCAAGCTCTGACCAATCACAGCCCAAGGAGGGGTATTTAAACCACTGAATTGCCCTAGTTCAATTCCCTGTCGTGGTTTATGTGCCTGGTTCCCGAGAGTGCGTTTTCCTGCTCTTGTTATTGATATTCCTGGTATTCTGACTATGATTTCTGGTTTACCTGACTTGGCTTGTTTATTTATCTTGTGTACTTCTGGTTTTCTTGACCTCAGCTTTCCCTTGACCATTCTCTGTCTTTCAACATATTAATCCGGCCATTCTAAGGACTGGTTTACGTTCTGTCTACTTTTATTTTCTATGTAGAAGTTACATAGTTTTGCGTGTTGGACCACATTAGTAGTCATGATACAAACAAGTATATATAAAAGTGGTGGAATATTCTGCTAATAAAACAAAATACACAACAACATAGTTTGTATCTATGTTTACAAAGTGCCAACAATTAGTGTTCCAATTAGCCACTAACAATTCTGAAGTAGTTATAGAGCCTTGTATAGAATCACCCATAAAGGGGTTAATTTTCTTCTTTTCCACATGTAATAGCTTTAAGTCACCACTAGCCATCCAATGCATTTTCTCCAGTTCAGGAACTTGGGTTTACCAGTAACAGTGTGCAAATAAATATATATTCAGTGGTGACTAAAGGCTATTACATCTACGTTTTAAACTTAAATGAAAATTTTTGGTGATTGGGAAAAGGAAATGAACACATTGATGGCCAATTCTATACAAGGCACTATAACTACTTCAAGCAACAAAACTACTACACCTGGCTGTGTTGCTTTAGGTCAGGCCCGGACGCGATGGCCATGGTCACAGGATCTCCCCGACTGGTCCATACAGGGCCGGCGCTATCCATGACACACCATGACGGTGCCTGCTGTTTTCCATGATGGGCTGGTGGGGAGATCAAAGATCTCCCTTACTGGTCCACATGCAGCGAGATGCAGCCCCCGGCAGGGGAGAGAGGAAGGGAGACAGGAGAGGACCCAGCAGAGCTCTATCTTGCAGTTCCACAAGGTTCCACTTGCGAGATCCGGAGCATTGCTATAGCTGCACAGGCTAGAGTTCACTCTCACCACTAGCACCACCAGGGATGGCAGCACAGTCCCCCCTCCCAGGTATAATGTAAGAAGGGTGGGGGGATGTAATCAATGCTTATTTATTTGTTAAATTAATATATAAATAATAATCTGCCCCCCGAACACACAAGCCCTCCAAATATATTCACACACCACACACACACACACTGCACCCCTGGCACTCACAGCACACACACACACTGCACCCCTGACACTCACAGCACCCTCACACACACACACACACACACACACTGCACCCCTGACAATCACAGCACCCTCACACACACACAAACACACACACATACACAGCTTCCTCACATGCACATAGCACCCTCACACACACTGCACCCATCACTCACACACACAGCACCCTTACCCACACAGCACCCCTCTTGCACACGCACACACACACACACAAACACACACACACACACACAGCACCCTCACACGCACATAGCATCCCTCCCACACACACAGCACAATACCCTTTCTTGGCATTTTTTATCTCCTGGTGTCCCATCTATGGAGACACCAGAGACAAATTTCAAGCAAACAGAGTGCATGCATGTTATTAAATTTGCTTAACCCCTTAAGGACCAAACTTCTGGAATAAAAGGGAATCATGACATGTCACACATGTCATGTTTCCTTAAGGGGTTAAGCTGTGCAGAACAAATACAGGGCATTTTTCTCTTGCTAAAGCTCTTCAGCAGAGCTCTGCGCATAGTCTGCCCTGGAAGAACATTGAACCAAAATGCTCACTTTGTGATGGGGCGTGCTTGTCATTGGTGATGACAAAACATACCATACCATACCATACCCCTTTTCAGTGAGCCACTGTAATTAAAAAATGCCTGTGCCAAATTTTTTCCCAGTCCGGCCCTGGATATGGTGTTTGGTGTGTTCCTTTAAAGGTTTACTCCAAATACGTGACCACTTCAGTGCTCCCCTCTGGGTCCTAGTGCCCTAAATATAGGGCTTTTCCAGTAAGATGTTTATCCGGAGAGTTTAGTAGTATCCACGATGAGATCTATCCATTAAACAGTAGCAGTGAGAAGCTACTAAGACCATTTAGAAACATAGAAGCATAGAATGTGATGGCAGATAAGAACCATTTGGCCCATCTAGTCTGCCCAATATTTGAAATATACTTTTAATTAGTCTAGGATAGTCTAGGAGAGCCTTATGCCTATCCCGCGCATACTTAAACTCCCTCACTGTGTTAACCTCTACCACCTAGAGGTAATAAGCTATAAATTGAGATACTCTCTAGTAATGCTTAGTATATAGAGAGGGTGAGCTTCCCATACACAATACACACACATTACAAAGGAATGACTTACCTGGTGTATCCATTATCAGAGAGAGATCAGAAAACAAGCTCCCAAATCTCTAGACTCCCAGCAGGGATCCTTCTTGTTTCCTCTTACGGTCTCTGGCCTGTGTAGATCAGGAAAGGTCTCCAGATATCTCTGTAGAAGGACAACACTATCAGTGATTAGCTTTATAGCCAGGGCGCCTCTGTAAACATAGTTGTACTTAATTTACAGAGCAGAAATAGCAGAGATTATCTCCAGGGGAATGGTTAACATTTTACACATGTGTGAGGCCATCCCATAATAACAAAAATTGTTTGGGAAATAACAGATTTAGTGGGGTTACACATACAAATATTGTTGCATTTACTTTTCCTGTTTTTTTTTTTTTAAGAATAAACCAATTTTTAGGGAAAAACAGTAACTACTTTAAAGGAATATTTTTTGTTAGGAACATAAGACTGTATTCCTCAGACTAAAGTGTTCTTCACTCCCCCCTGCAGGTTTTATGTTGTCTTGGTAAGTTACTGGGTTAAATATAGTGCTTGCAAATTAAATTATCTGGACTTTCTGCCTGGCTCGTCAGGCACATCCCTCAAATTTTAATTACTAAAATCACATAATTATGTTAAGAGATTCAATAAATATACACAGTAGAATTTTTATATATTTATACATATATATTTATTTAAATTGTACATGTATACTTATGTAATCATATATATTTTTATATGTGCGTGTGTGTGTGTATATATATATATATATATATATATACATATATTTGCAATTATTTGTATTTATTTATATATAGATATATATATAGAATGTCATTTTAATTGTATTTTGAGATATATATAAATATATATATATATAGATCAATCAAAATACAGTTAGAATGAATCATTCACAGAAATAAGCCCACAATTGAAAATGGAAAACGCTTTCCGTTGGTAGCACAAATTGATAGAATTGGTTTGATATGGATTAACAAAATTAAAATATACTTAAATCTGTATAAAAAATGCATATTAAATGTATTAAATTTGATAAAATCACAGAAATAATGATACAATTTTAAGGCACAATACCTACACAAAATGATAATATAAAATTATTAAAGAAATAAAAATAGTAGAAATAGTTCACGATATAGCAATGATAATACTGATTAAATTAAAATCGATAGGCTATAATGACATTTCATTAAGTTGGAGCAATTTACCGTTAGTTACTGATGGAATTCTATAAAAGAACTAACAATATTGTCTGCAATGTAAGATACTTTATACTATAGAGTAATAATAGAAAGGAAAAGGAGGGAAAATGATAAGAAAAGTGGAAAAGGTAATAAAGAGGAGAAAAGACATGACATTTTTTTTTTCCGATCTCCTCTTCTTCTCTCATGGTTCTCCAATTGAATAATACAAGACACTTGCTTGTTGTTTAGAACAAATTTTATAAGAATTGTATTTGTATATCTGCAACCTAGGTTGTCCCTCGCTAGCCACATAACAAGAGTAGCCACATGATCGTCATCTATCAATGGCTTCATTATTTTTGTGCATGTATAATAGGGCTATACGTGCAGGTGTCTGTACCGGTGGAACAGAACACTAGGGTAATAAGGGAGAGTAGGTTCTATGCAAGAACCACACTGTTGTATATAAACTTTTTATAATTGTATGATTGTTACCTGGATATATGGCGTGAATTTCCTAAAAAAGCTGTAAGAATTTGAAAGATGGTTAGAATGCTTTCTTTAAATTCTCAAGGTCTAAATAAACCACAAAAACAGGCAGCATTGATTGAATTGATCAAAAACGAAAAATCCCATTTATGTTTTATCCAAGAAACACATTGGGTAACATCTGAGAGGCAATATTTCATGAGGAAACAAATGGCCCATGTAATTAATGCTCCATCACAAACGGGCAAAAGAAGAGGGGTGGCCATGTGGATTGGCAAATAAATAGAATTTAAACTTATATATCAAGAACTTGATCCTCAGGCTAGATACAGAATACTGATTTGTAAATTAGATAAGATGTTATATACGTTGGTGAATGTTTATGGGCCGAATACGGGTCAAATTAATTTCCTACAAAAGTTAATAGATAATGTTGAAAAATTTGCAGTTGGCAATGTTATTATAGCAGGTGATGATGCAATGATGGATAGAAAGGTTAGAACAGAGTTAACTATTGATGATTCTGACGAAATTCCAGGGCCTTTTCCTCAATCTTGAATAAGTCAATGTTGTACAATGCTTGGAGAGTTTTCCATCCTACTGAGAAGGAATATACTTATTTTTCATTAAGACGCTGCTCTTATGTGCGCAATTAGCAACAACCAATCATATTAGAAAAAATAAAGAAGATATATACAGTCAGTGAGTTGGTCTGACCATAATGTACTTGTTTGGGAATGATAACAAAATAAAGAGACCAAATTAATGGAAATTTAAAGATAGTTTGTAAAACTCAGAAGAAAATGGGAAGTATATAAAAACTACAACATGTTATTTTTTCAATGAAAATCTAGAAGCAACAAGTTATAATAAATGGTGCGCATATAAAGCGGTGATAAGAGGGCATTTGATTAAGCTGTCAATAATGGAAAATAGGAAAAGACAATTTCAACACAATTAATTAAGCTTTATAAAATAGATAAAATAGATAAATAAAATTAGGAGTCCCCAAATAAAGAAAATGCTAAAGAAATTTGTTTTATTTTCCTTTTTTCCCCCCTACTTTATCTTTTCATTCAAGTAACTTTGCCCTTTGTGTACGTTTTATATATCCCCTTGTGTAGGGATGTTAAATATGTAATCAAAATTTCTCCCTTGTCTCATCTATTTTTTGGATACCTCCTTTTGTATCAACATGTCCCCTATATCCTTTGATTAGGGATATTAAATCATTGGACCATGATAGGTTATGTTATAGTATGCTGTATGATTAGGTATGTGTGGTTATACCTCAGTACACTTATTCCTTTTTTTATTATTATTCAGAACATAATAAATATAGAATTTTGGTTATTTATTATCTATACTCTATTTTTACACACTGCCACTTTAAATAATTAACTCTATGATACCACTCTTATAGTAAGAAAAAAATATAAATCCTTTTTTATGATTTATTTATCACATAAAGTGATTTTAGCTGTTGCACTTTAGTCTCTAAGGTTGGGCTTGTGACCGTAAATATTTTTGTGGTGCTAATCACTTCTCTCTCCAACAGACTTACTACCCGACAATTCTGTTATTGTAAATGCATCTGTGTTTCTGGCGACCACTAGAGGTCACTATTTACACTTTGTACACTCTTGGTCTCTGAGGAAGTTCCAATTGTGGAACAAAATGCGTAAGACCAATACTATTGCTGTTTTAACAGGATTTATCCTGGTGTTTTTTCACCAATTTTATTAAATAAAATAGCATTTTTTCTATACATTCTCATCTGGAGTCCTGCTTTCCTGCTACACTCGCAGACATAGGAGAAGGGTTGTGTAGCCCCCCCACCCATCAGGGGAGGCACCCATTGAGCTCTTTATTTGTCTACATCTTGTGAGTGCAACTGTTTATAGCGCACATTTCATTGTTTTAACCGTATTACACTATGTTATGTTTATTTTCTTTTTAGAAATACAGCCGTACCCCATATGTTTGTTGCTTGCATTCTGGTCTAATAGAATCACAATCTGGAAGGTGATCTTAGGGAGGCTGTCTACTTGACTTGTTTAGATAAGTACATTGAATACTTACCTTCTACTATTCTTCATGTATTTGTGGGGATAGTATTGTATTGTTTGTTTGTTTTGTTTTGTACCTAATGCCATGCCTCCCCTTGTGCCCCCGCAATTGAAATTGCACTGCCGATGGCCAGTCATGGAGGAAGGAGATTATAGACCCCTGAGACGGGCAACTGTGAGCACATCAGAGGTGGTGAGGGAGCTGTACTCCTTCTGATCTGCCCCCCTTTACGCACCATCTATAAATACCGGAAGCTGTAATATGCTGTCATATTCCGGCTCCCGGCATTAGTTGAAGGTGCGAGATGGAGCAAAGCAGGAGAATTACATCGTCAAGCGAGAAGGTAACAATAGTTGGTGCGATTATTCGCAAATGAAAGAAACACAAAATAACTGTCAGACTCCCTCGGTCTGGTGCTCCATGCAAGATCTCACCTCGTGGAGTTTCAATGATAATGAGAATGGTGAGGAATCAGCCCAGAACTACATGGGGGGATCTTGTTAATGATTTCAAAGTAGCTGAGACCACAGTCACCAAGAAAACAATTGGTAACACACTACGCCGTGAAGGACTGAAATCCTGCAGCGCCCGCAAGGTCCCCCTTTAAGAAAGCACATGTACAGGCCCGTCTGACGTTTGCCAATCTAAATGATTCAGAGGAGAACTGGATGAAAGTGTTGTGGTTAGAACGAGACCAAAATCGAGGTCTCTTTGGCATCAACTCACTGTGTTAGGAGGAGGAGGAATGTTGCCTATGACTCCAAAACACCATCCTCACCATCAAACAGGGAGGTGGAAACATTATGCTTTGGGGTTGTTTTTCTGCTAAGGGGATGATGGACAGGGTCATGTGCCATCAAATCTTGGGTGACAACCTCCTTCCCTCAGCCAGAGCATTGAAAATGGGTTGTGGATGAGTATTCCAGCATGACAATGACCCAAAACACACAGCCAAGGCAACAAAGGAGTGGCTCAAGAAGAAGCACATTAAGGACCTGGAGTGGACTACCCAGTCTCCAGACTTTATTGCCAATAGAAAATCTGTGGACGGAGCTGAAGGTTTGAGTTGCCAAACGTCAGCCTCGAAACCTTAATGACTTGGAGAGGATCTGCAAAGAGGAATGGGACAAAATCCCTTCTGAGATGTGTGCAAACCTGGTGGCTAACTACAAGAAACGTCTGACCTCTATGATTGCCAACAAGAGTTTTGCCACCAGTGGGTAAACGTTCAAAATCAGCAGGGGATCAAGTACTTTTTCCCCTCACTATATATATATATATATATATATATATATATATACACACACACACACACACACACATTTTATACCTGCCCCTCTACGTTTGTCTCTGGCCCACCATGTGCCCCCCTTAAATATGAATTCTAGAGATGCCACTGACCATAAGGTAACAGGGGGGTGGCTGCACTCACCTAAATATGCATAAATAGGGTGCTGCTGGGATATTTTTTGACTGGATTCTGTGTTTTTAAAAAAACGAAACTAAATCTGTCAGCACTGAAGTTGCTGTTTAGGAGATAATGGAGTGCGCTGGATTTTTTTATTTCTTTTTTTACTGACCATAAGGTGGCATAGTGGCTGCCTTGGGATGCACAGCATCTGGTGACTGTCAGGAGGGGAGCATGCAGCACTGTCCCTCCTGCCTTTCACTTCATGTAGAAAGGCCACCTCGACCGCCCTAGAGGATCTGACAGGATGTGCTCACTGAGAGCAACTAGCAGCTTCCTGTCAGATCGAGTATAAGATCCAGAGGGACAGAGACATACAGATGTATTCGGAGAGACACACAGTGGGACCAAGACAGTAGAGGAACACAGGTGGGCTGGGAGGGAGAAACACAAAGCGTGTATTGTGGAGGATACAGTTGAGAAGGGGGTAAAGAGACACACAGAGAGGCTGGAAGAAGAGACACACAGAGGGACTGAGGGGAAGGGACACTGGGCTGGGGAAGAGACACAGATGGGCTGGACACAGAGATGGGCTCGTGGAGAGACACACAGAGGGGCTGGGGTGAAGAGAGACACCCAGAGAGGCTTTGGGGGAGGGGGATACAGACACACACAGTGGTTTGGGAGAGAGAAAAAAAAGATGGGCTGGTGGTAGAGACACAGCGAGGGACTGGGGGTGGAAACACAGATGAAAAAGAGATAAGGAGACACACAGAGGCACTAGGGGAATAAACACACAAATGGGCTGAGGAATGGTTAAAAGACACACAGAAAGGTTGGAGGAGAAAGAGACACACATGCATGAGGGTGTGATCATATGTGCATGAGCTACCGTGTTATTGCCTGTGTGCATGGTATTTCTACCACAGAACATAATTATCATTAGTGCACACCCTAATACAATCTGCTGCACACGCCTATTACTGTATCTATGCCTTATTTATACATAATAAAAGAGTATGGAAAATATTCTTCCTGGTGAATCCTTTTTAAAGGACCACTCTAGGCACCCAGACCACTTCAGCTTAATGAAGTGGTCTGGGTGCCAGGTCCTTCTAGGGTTAACCCATTTATTCATAATTATAGCAGTTTCAGAGAAACTGCTATAATTATGAATGGGTTAAGCCTTCCCCCTAATCCTCTAGTGGCTGTCTCATTGACAGCCACTAGAGGCGCTTGCGTGCTTCTCACTGTGATTTTCACAGTGAGAGCACGCAAGCGTCCATAAAAGCATTGTAAATGCTTTCCTATGCGACGGCTGAATGCGCGTGCAGCTCTCGCCGCGCGTGCGCATTCAGCCGGCGGGGCGGATCAGAGGCGGAGAGGAGGAGGAGAGCTCTCCGCCCAGCGCTGGAAAAAGGTAAGTTATTACCCCTTTCCCCCTTCCAGAGCCGGGCGGGAGGGGGTCCCTGAGGGTGGGGGCACCCTCAGGGAACTATAGTGCCAGGAAAACGAGTATGTTTTCCTGGCACTATAGTGGTCCTTTAAGAGCTAACTGAATACTTTCACAAGGAGAATCCAGAAGCAGGCACCAGGCAGGAACCAGGAAAGTTTTCAAATTGTTCCAAAACATTTTAACAAATTACATTGGGAGGGTGCCATACAGCATTTCAAAAGTATAACTTCAAATTTCCTCAAGGTGAAATCAGTTTTTCATGTTGCTGAGGTTGATGAAAATATGTTGCGTAATAATAATAAGATGATACTGGGATGTACTTGAAAACTCACAACCCTGCTTTCTGAGATGGGCTAAAGTCCTGCAGGAACACGTGGGAACAGTGCACTCTTTCCACAGCATGAATGCTGTACCCGTTAGTAGTCCTGCAGGCATGGGGTGCTAGATTGGAGCTACCTCCTACAAGTCATTCTGTGTAGAAGAACACTAGGGGATGGTGCAGGAAAGAACACTATGGGACAGGGGAGGGGGAAAAATACTATGGGACAGGGGAGGTGGTGGTGATAAGGAGCACTATGGGATGGGGTGGAAGAACACTAGGGTACAGCGCAGAGAAAGGACACTATGGGGAGAAGGGGAAAGAACACTATGGGATGGGGGGAAATAATACTATGGGACAGGGAAGTGGGGAAGAACACTGAGACAGGGGAGGGAGGAAAGAACACGATGGGGAGGGAGGAAAGAACAATATGGGATGGGGAAGAATACTAAAAGAGAGGAAGGGGAGAAGAACACTGGGGGAAAGAGAGAGGAACATTAAGAGGGGGACACTAAGGTACAGAGGAGGGAAGGGAAAACTAACACTGGGGTAGGGAGACCACTAAAAGAGAAGGGAGAGGAACATTAAGGGGAATAGAGGGGCACTAAGAGACAGGTAAGGGGGGGAAGAGGAACACTAATGGATATGGAGTGGAGGAAAGAGGAACACTAAGGGACACGAAGCAGAGGAGAGAGGAACACTAAGGGGGGAGAGTGGCACACTTTATTGCATAGTTAACTTATTTGTTGTAACTGTTCTATATATTTGTTTATTGCATGTGAATTTTGGAGATGCCTTTGTAAATTGGCACTTCACAATAAATGTTGCACTGTATTTTCTGAGAAATATATATGCATATGAGCGTATACGTATATTTTTTTGGGGGGGATCTTGGGTGAGTTCCCCCACTTTTTTCCCCAGGACTTGACCCCTGGCTAGAGCAATGTATGATACAAGGATTCTCCCTAAATACTTAGACAAGTAAGGGCCATTGACCAATGGAGTTTTATAGGTTTACTCCAGCAGTCTTGAGTGTAAGGACCTTTTTGGCATAATATGATCTATTGGGCACTATGAAGTAGCTCCCCTCCCAATTTGTAGAATAACCTGAAGATTTTAAGTTTTAATAAGTTCCACAAATCCACATGACTTCACATGGGCCAAGCACAGTCCACTTTTTTGCAGGCTCGGAGCCTATGAGTGCAATCTAAAATAGGGAGAGGAAGGAGGAATTATTACTAGTATTAGTGGAGGGAGCTTCACCAGGTGGGGATGGAGGGCATTTTGCCTGCAAGAGGGAAGAATAGCAGGTCTGTCGTCTGTGTGCACTGACAGATGCAAAACATGCACAGAATGGACATTAGCAGCCCGGAAGAGAGTTCTGGGTTGGCAATGTCACATGTGCTGGGGGTGTAACTAGCCCTCAGCTCACAATAAAAATATGTATGTTTAGCATTACAATCAATAACATCGCACATACTTACTCCTACCACCATGACCATTTCAAATTACAGAAGAGGTCATGGTGGTTGGAGTAACCCTTTAATCTATTCACTACAAAGCATCTTTTTCTTTAAACATTTTGAGTATAACAGTTATTTGAAACAAGGGATAATAGCCCCATTGTACAGCACTATGGAATTTGCTAGCGCTATTTAAATAATAAAATAATAATAATAATAATAATAGCTAAGCATATAAACATATCATAACACAAACATGTGTATAGATTGCTTTGCAGAAAAATAAAACAATTCAAATTATGTAAATTTGCACAATTTTTATTTTTCTCTTATTCGTTTGTCCTTTATAAAAAAAAAATGTTTGGGAAGTTAAAAGGTTTAGACAGTGAACAGTGTAATTTATCTTTCTATTATTTTAAACTGGGTCTGAAAGTTAAGTCTAAAAGCAAAAATGTCTATTTTCTCACTTCCAGTAAATGTGAGAAAAATAAATAAATCTTATCAAATACTATGCAAGAACTCTGAAGGAATAACCAGCAGTGTTGCTTACTAAAAATTGCAATAAAATTTAAAAAGAATGTCTGCACTTGTCCACCTACAATAAATATAGGTAAATTATACAAATAATAAATAAGTGTTTTATTTTAAACTGCTATTTCATTTTTTTATTAATCTCTGGATTGCTAATATAATGCTGACAGTTATATAGTAGAATCCATTCCCTCCCCTCCTCCCTGGCTGTAGGAATAGCATGACCCAGTGAAACTTTATACAATCTACACAGTTTGAAAGCAGGAGGAGAGGTGATATTTTCAGCAGCCTTACAGGGTGAGAAATGTGTTCCTCTATAGATTGGTATTTAAAACTAGAGTATAAATGAGGGCGAGTGAGGCTTAATGGACTAGATTCAATTCTGCTAAATACATAAAAATAAAATGTTTATACTCAATCGGGTTAATGAACAGGTTAAGCAACTCAACTCTTTTAAATTATTAAAGTATTAAAATTATTTGATATCTGCCAATGTCATATGGAAAATTATATATTTATGTTTAGGATAAAATCTGTATTAGAAGAACTGTTATGTTGTATCCTCAATATTATAAGCACACATTTTACAAGTGGCAAAGGTCAGCGAGGAAAGACTTCTAAGCTGTGGAAAAATGATCCACCCTTCATCTCTGATTAAAAATAAGCTTATATATTCAGATCGAAATCATCAAAATTAGAGGGGAGGCTTATTAGGCTTCCCATAAACCTTACTTGATATTATACAGAGAAAACTTACCTGGTGTATCCATTATAGAGTTAGATACTCTAGTATAAAGAGCCCTGCATGGTGAGCTTGCCAGATACAAAACATATATTACACGTGTATTACTTACCTGGTATGTATTTTCACAGAGAGATTAGAAAACAAGTTCCCAAATCTCTAGACTCCAAGCAGGGATCCTTGTTGTTTCCTCTTGGTGTCTCTGGCCTGTGTAGATCAGGAACCATCAGTGCATTAGCTTTATAGTCAGGATCCCTCCCTAAAGACAGCTGCACCTGGCTAAAATTGCTGAGTTAGCAGAATTTGGACAATATTTGTCATTCATGTATGGCAGACAAAAGCACACTATATGATGTATTGCCATATGCTTCAAAATATTTAAAAGCCCTCAAGACATTCTTTTATTGGACTTGTACTAGACATAAATTTACAAGGAATCCATTAATACATAACAAGTACAATGTTCTATACAGTCAGCAATTAAAATTAGTAAATAGGCTAAAGTTTTTTCTTTTTAAACTACTCTTCAGGCCAAATATGAGTTTACAGTATGATACAATCATTAAGGAGTTAGTATAAGCCTAAAAATGCGAGTGGAGGGCTCACTAGTGGGCATGTAACAAATATTGCATGTAGCCATAACTAATTTAGGGTCACATACAGCTGGTTCCACACCTTCTCTTCTGCTGAGTTCTTCTGATGCCAATTCCATCAACACCAAAGAGCAGGTTGCTGGGCCTTCACGTTCAACTATGTGGTCAGGCCTGGTGTTTGTGCAGCTCATCCTGCCCTAACAGCGGCCAGCCAGTTCCCTGAACCAACTTCAAACCCTCCTCTGCCAGCAGGGCCGGACTGGGGAAACAAAGCAGCCCTGGAAAAAAAAAAAGTAATTGTGCCATGCTTTGTAACATATATACACATACACATACATATATACATACACACACACGAATACAATTGTGGTGGGGAAAAAGTGTGGATAAAAAACCCCTTACACCTGAAGTAAGTGTATAGTTAATACATTGCTAATCACAAATACACACACCAGTCAAGCCATAAGACTTGCTTTTCCCACAGAAATCTCACTTTAATAGTGCTCTCGCTACTGCAATGGATTCTGGGTAGGCATATTCAAACCAACCTCATGCTGATGAGTTGCATTAACAATGAAACAGCTGTCCATGAGTGGTTCACTGGCTTTGCTCCTCTTTCTGAGTTGTGTTTCAAAGCTGTTGTATACAGCAGACACATACTCCAAGGAATCCATGTATAAGGTGGAATTATAAAGCAAAAATGTGGTTCTTTGTTGAGCTAATTTGCATATGCCTACCCAGAATCCCTTGCAGTAGTGAGAGCACTGTTAAAAGGAGATTTATATGGGAAAAGCAAGTCTTATGGCTTGGCTGGCGTGTGTATTTGTGTTTAGCAATGTTTTAGCAATGTATTAACTATCCACTTACTTCACTTGGAAAGGTTTTCATTCACACTTTAGTCCCCACCACAACTCTATTGGTATGTACTTTACAGGTAACACCAAGTCTCCATAGCAAGCCAGTAACCAACCTCATGCTGATGAGTTGCATCAAAGGGAAACTATAGTTACCAGAACAACTACAACTTATTGAATTTGTTCTGGTGAGTAGAATCATTACCTTCAGGCTTTTTGCTGTAAGCACTGTCTTTTCAGAGAAAATGCAGTGTTTACATTATAGCCTATCGATTACCTCACTGGCCACTCCTCAGATGGCTGTTAGAGATCCTTTCTGGGTCATTGCTGCCTAAAATGCATCACAACATATCAGTATCTCCTCCCTCTGCATGGAGACAATGAACTTTCCTCATACAGATTCATTGATTCAATTCATCTCTATGAGGAGATGCCGATTGACCAGGGCTCTGTTTGAATTTTGCTGGCTCTGCCCCTGATCTGCCTTGTCAGTCTCAGCCAATCCTATGGGGAAGCATTGTGATTGGATCAGGCCACCACTTCTGATGATGTCAGCAGGCAGTGGGCAGGTCAAAAGGAAACCTGGACAGAGCAAGCAGCTCCAGACTTGAATACAAGTAAGATTTCACTATATTTAGGGAGGCATTAGGGGCCCAGGGGGGCTAGATGGTGGGTTTAACACTATAGGGTCAGGAATACGTGCTTGTGTTCCTGACCCTATAGTGTTCCTTTAACAATGAAACAGCTGTCCATGAGTGGTTCACTGGCTTTGCTCCTCTTCCTGAGTTGTGTTTCAAAGCTGTTGTATACAGCAGACACATACTCCAAGGAATCCATGTATAAAATGGAATTATGAGGCAAAAATGTGGTTGTTTGTTGAGCTCATTCGCATACGCCTACCCAGAATCCCTTGCAGTAGTGAGAGCACTGTTAAATGGAGATTTCTGTGGGAAAAGCAAGTCTTATGGCTCAGAAAGGACCAATATTTTAAATAAGAAAAATAAATATTATCACTTGAATTAGCTCCCTTATTTCCTCCCAATAGCTTTTAATCTTTGGGCAATCCCACCACATGTGTAAATATGTCCCCTGTAAACCACATCCCCTCCAACAAAGATCCATCAGATTTTTACCTATTTTGTACAAAAAAACAGGGGTCACATGCCACCTAAATAATATATACTTTAATGGAGCCCAAACCGTAGGTTCCTCACTTAGTTGATTATACAAATCAGAGATAAGACCTCCCTTTAACCTACCTATTTTGCACATTTTTTCAAAATTAGTGAAGGGGAATTTAACTGCCGTTTTTACCTCCATTGAATACGCAAAATCTCTAATCTGTAAATAACGAAAAAAATCTCCTGTCCTCAGTTCTACTCTGGTCAACAAACTAGAAAATAAAACTACCTCTCCTTCTGACCAGGGAAATATAGAACTCAATCTTTGGATATTTTTGCTATCGAAATCAATAACAGGTATACCCTGCCATTTGCAGAAATTAATATTTTTAATTTTATTGGCCGCACGTAGATGTATAGCCGCTAGCTGGATAAATCTAGATTTACCATCAATGAGAGAGGTGGAATTAAAGATTCAAGAAAATTTTATAATGGATGAATTATCATCTAGAGTAAGACATTCTTATTATATGTTTGGTAAGGTCTGGGAACCCTGGAAGGTTTATGCGAATAGGAAGGGTATAGGTAGATAGAGAGGCAGAGGGGGGGGAGAGTGTATTAAATGTTTTTTTTTTGTGTGTGTGTAAAAAAAATAAATAAAAAAAATAAAAAATAAATAAAATAAATATACCTATAATATGTAAGGCTATGTCTTTCCACCCCAGATGACTGAGCAATATATAAACATATATATATATTGTGTGTGTGCTTATATAATACTATTTTTTTACTTCAAAATATTGGTCCTTTCAGAGTAAAACATTTAATTATACAGTATGCATAACCACATGCAGACACAGACAACCTCACTGACACAAGGTCATTGATGCACAGGCTCACAGACAGACAATCTCTGACATGCACAATCTTACTACAGACAAGTCCACTGTTACACACACACGTGCTCACAGACACCCACATGCGCACTACAGACAAGCACACTGACATACACATGCTCCCCACAGACAAGCTCACTGACATACACATGCTTCCAACAGACAAGCCCACTGGCACACACATGCTCACTACAGACAAGCTCACTGCCACACACACATACAAGTTCACTCACTAGCAGCCACACACACACACACAAGCTCACTCAGGAGCAAGCACAGAAACACACAAGCTCACTCAAGAGCAGACACACACACACACAAGCTCACTCAGGAGCAGGCACACACACATACAAGCTCACTCACTAGCAGCCACACACACACACACACTCACTTGCAGCCACACACATACAAGTTCACTAACTAGCAGCCACACACATACACACACACACAAGTTCACTCACTAGAAGCCACACACATACAAGCTCACTCACTAGCAGCCACACACACACACACACACACACACTCACTTGCAGCCACACACATACAAGTTCACTAACTAGCAGCCACACACATACACACACACACAAGTTCACTCACTAGCAGCCACACACATACAAGTTCACTCACCAGCAGCCACACACGTACACATACCAGTTCACTCACTAGCAGCCACACACATACAAGTTCACTCAGTAACAGCCACACACGTACACATACAAGTTAACTCACTAGCAGCCACACACACACACACAAGCTCACTCACTAGCAGCCACACACACACAAGCTCACTCACTAGCAGCCACACACACACAAAGCTTACTCACTAGCAGACACACACACACACATATACAGGCTCACTCACTAGCAGTCACACACAGACAAGCTCACTCACTAGCAGGCACACACATACGCACAAGCTCATTTACTAGCAGTCACACACATACAAGCTCACTCACTAGCAGCCACACACATACACAAGTTCATTCACTAGCAGCCACACACGCACAGGCTCATTTACTAGCAGTCACACACATACAAGCTCACTCACTAGCAGCCACACACACACACAAGTTCACTCACTAGCAGCCACACACATATGTTCACTCACTAGCAGACACACACACACACCTCCCACACAAGCTCTCACTAGCAGCCACACACACACACACGCACACGCACAAGCTCTCCCCCACAAACAAACACACAAGTTCACTCACTAGCAGCCACACATATGTTCACTCACTTGCAGACACACACACACACACACACACCTCACACACAAGCTCTCTCACTAGCAGCCACATACACACACACAAGTTCACTCACTAGCAGGCACACACACACAATCACTGTCATGGCTGAATCTTACCTGGCACTGGTAGGTGAAGTTGCCATTTTGTGGCCTCCTCCTTCCAGAGAGGTCAGCAACGTGCATGCGCGGGCAGAGCTGCCATTCAGGAGGTGGGGTTTGTATGTGGGGGCGGAGCATGCGGCAAAAATTGAAGTAAATAGTGCAGGTCTCTCTCTGGAGGTCTGCCTAATTGCGGCCGCACCAGCCCCCAGTTCCTCCCTCATTACTCCCTTTGGACTGACACAGGCTGGCTGTCTGCCCGGTTCCAGGTGGTGCGGCCCTCCTGGAAATTTCCCAGTATTCTAGTGGGTCAGTCCAGCCCTGTCTGCCAGATATCAGGGCCATGGCCACATTGAGGAAGCCTCTTGTGGTCTGGTGTCTTTTTAGGTTACCTAAAAGTAACTGTCGAGATACCAGGAAAGAATAGAACTGGGAA